AGCTCCAACTACTATTTTTTCATTCTTTTTCTTTTTTTTTCTCCTTCTTTATTATGTTTATTCATTTTTTTGGTTTTTTTTCTTTTCTTTTTCATTCTTCTCCTCTTTTTTTTCTATTCAGTTCAGTTCTGTTTTCTTTTTTTCTTTATTATTTTCATTTCTTTTTCTTCTTTTTTTCTTTCTTTTTTTTTTTTTCTATTTATTCTTATTTTTTTGTCTTATTTTTTTCAGTTTTTTTTCTTTATCAGACAGAGAGGCAATAGTATCATATCAGCCAGAGAGGTAGTAGTATCATATCAGCCAGAGAGTCAGTAGTATCATATGAGTCAGAGATGCAGTAATATCATATCAGCCAGTCCACTCAATACTATATTGTCTTGTTTATGAATCCACTGCTTGGCGTATACATCTAAAAGAAGGGTCAGGCAGGGTCCTAGGATTTTGTCATATCCTTTTTTGTTCCTATGAGGAAGTGCTGGTATTGAGCAATGTACCAAGATTTTGAATAATGAATAACCAAAAAATTTATATTCAATAAATATTTGATGTCAATAAATATTTGGTTTTCCTTACTCACGAGAAATGATTTTTTAAAAGAGGCATATTCTTGCAAATTTCACGCGTTGAGCGCTTTATCATTAAACGTGTAGACCAAAGGATAGTGTATAAAACTTTTGCAATTCTCGATAGTTCCTAAACACTGACCCATTCCCTGGATTATCTAGCCTGTCCTGAGGAACATGCTTACAAACTTATAGCCGCCGCAGTGAATCGCGACCATTTTATTGCTATAGCAACAAGCCTATCGCCATGGTAATAAAGTCTATTGCCGCTCGAGGATCTTTGAACGGTATTACCACAAGCCTGGATACATGACCTTTTATACTTCTGTATTTCGTGTAGATTGCAAATCAACGTTTGTTGTCAAGTCAATGAACAAGCAACCTCTCAATGCCGATTCGCTATCTGAAGGGCGCAGCTCAGTCAAGTCACCTGACCCATCCATTGAACCGTCTAGAGTTTTCTTGCTTGTGGCACTGGAGCGTGAAAAATTAACTTGATAGCTTTTCAAAGACGACAATTAAGCATATAGTAAGGAAAACTTTATATTCTCTCTGAAAAATATATTTTTTTTCATTTTGGAGCCATGAAATAATGCAGAAATGGCCTATTGCTGACAGGGGACGACAATGTCGCGGAGAAAACGCACGTCAAACAGGACGGACATCCTGCTCTGGTTCTTTGTGGCAGCTGGCCTAGTAATTGTTGTTAGTTGCAAAGAAAAGAATGTATCAAATAAACCATCGAAATATAAACTTACAAATGTTTTAAGTGCGCTGGCACCGGACAAGAATATCCCGGCTGTTCTAAATACAACCAGCACAAAAGCAAAGAAAAGTGTGCATTCGAAAAAGACTGATATATTGGAAAATGTTATGAGTCAGCTAGGCCCTGGCAAGCAAAATGACATTAGCGAATCAGTTGGGCAAGTGAGTGAGGTTTCCGAACCAGCAAGAGACTTTGATTTATCGGCGCAAAGGCGAATGGAGGATCCTGGGTCACCAAGAGTAATTAATCTACCGGGAATGATAAATGTTTTTGGGCCACCCCCAAAATCGCGATTCGCTCCACGCCCTCGAGATCCTTTGCATGTTTTGGAAATTCCCGGCCTGTCAAGACGGAGTCATGAAAACTTTGAGATTGTTCCTCCACATTTTAACTCTGAAAACATTCCGGTACATTTTTACCCCAACGTCCGCTCTCCGGAAGTAACCGGCGGAAAGCCGAAACATTTGTTTCTGCCATTTCCTAGAGAATATGGACTGCACTCTAGAGGTCTACACAGGGGTTTACATAATCATATTATTGACCGAGATTTTGGAGGATTTCACGATGGTTCAAATGGTGCCGGATTTGAAGGTTACAAAGTACCTCGGTTATCCCCGCTCCATCAAACTGAATACCCTTCTTTCCCTCCGGACAGCGGTGTGCCGGTTGCAGAGGATCACTTGCCGTTTAATCATAATGAATATAGAGGTGATTCTAGTAACGTTGATGTGCAGGGGAGTGAGCTTGGACTCGTTTCTTTGCCGCCGCCCAAAATGTTTTCACATCCTCCAAGGCATATTTTCGAGAGAGGCAAAGAGGTCACGCTGGATAACGGAAAGGAGTACAATATGAACAATGAGTTGCATGTTGTAGAGCATGGTCATCATCATCATCAATATCATCCTGATACGGATCACTACGATCATGACGACGATCAGTACGTGCACGACGAAGATCATGACGATCACTTCCATCATCCTGAATACGATGATCATGGTGATGTAGAGGAAGACAATGCCGACGACTCCTATGATTCTCACGGTTCGCCTATTCAAATTGCCGATCCAGAGCATGTTGTTCATGAGCACCACAGTGTTGAGCACCACCATCACTTAGGTTGGTAACGCATGAAGGTCTTACCGATAAGTTATTTAGTGCTATTTGATGTGCCAAAAATAAGCAGGGCTTGAGCTGAAACCCAAAATTGCCAGTATCTTAAGTTGCTACCGTTGAAGAGCCATACATGACTTTATTGCATAGGGAAGGGATAACGAAAAGGACCTTAAATGGGCAACGTTTCTCCCTTCATTCTTCTATTTTCCTACTCAGAATCCCATTTCCTTTTCTGTTTCTTCTGCCCCACACCAAGTGGCATTTGCAGTCACTGTGACCTTTGCTTTTCGCTTCTAAGCATTTAGAATATTGACTTCTAAACAGATCTATGGCAATGCACTGTTCTGGGACTCTATCAGATTAGGGTCTCGGCGAAAGTTGATGATTGCGATGGAATGGATACTTCACAACTCCAAAAAGCTTTGTGAATATCTACCATAATCTCCTTATTTGATTCGATCCCTGGTCATTCCTTTTTTGGCTTTTGTAAAAATTAAAGGAAAGGCTGACACTGAATAAGCTATAATCTTAACAAAACCGAACATAAGGACAATTTTAAATCTGGATAAAGGTTGTTTACATGTACCACTGTCACAAAAGTTTTACAAAAATGGCATATTCTTGTAATGTTATCTTTCAATATTGAGTGTTTACTCCTCTCTTTTTTTATATAAAAGAGAACTGCTATTGGCTTGCTGAACTGCAGTTTTGTAAGGACCGTTGTATTTGTTGGAAAATTCGAAATATATCATCCAGATTTTCAAAAAGCCTCGTTAACGGCAGTATACATATTTTTCTTAAACTATTTAAGGTAAAGCTAATGTATATCCGAAAATTGCGAGGAAAGTATCAAATTTAATAAAAGTGATAAAATACGTCTGACTGCTCAGTTGAAACCAATTCTTGCACTGTAAATACAGGATGTTAAGAAGCATCTAATATTTGATAATGGATTTTGTATCTTTTGTAATGTATTCATATTTCTTACTTTACCAAACATATTTAAATATTTTTAGTTAAAGCCCGGTGCTACCCAAATCCCTGCCGAAATGCTGGCACGTGCACTGCCATGGAACATGGTTATCAGTGCACCTGTTCCATTGGGTACAAAGGGTCTCATTGTGAAGGTACGTACGCTTTTATCCATCTTGTCCGGATTACCCAAGGATACATAGATGCATATTCCCTTTTGATGATTCTGATATTTCCTTATTAGCCCTAGTTTGGAATTATAATGATCCAAATGTTTCGAGATGTTCCAACTGTTTGATATTTTTTCAATGCCAGGATGCGCTTGACTTAGAACCTTAGAACACGTAACTTAGAACGCCCGACTATCCGCTTTGATCGTATGAGTCGAAAAAGGAACTTCAAACCAGTTCAAATCTTTGATCTTCATCGCATGAAATAGTCTGAAAATGAAACATACCAGCAAGATACAAGTTCATACAGTATTAAAAACAAACTGTTTATTGCACATGTGCATCGAACGGCATTTGAAGTATGAATGGATTTCAATTTTAGAGATCAACCAATGCCAGCCAAACCCATGCAAAAACGGTGCTGATTGTTACGAGACTGGGGACGGTTTTCAATGCACGTGTACTCGTGGCTACAAAGGAGAGTACTGTGAAAGTAAGTTGTATATTCATTTGTGCGTTACACTTTTTGCAACTGCCAAAGTGTCCTTATAGGAATCGATTCTAAAGTGTAGGAATCAAGTATATGTAATGTAAGTTTGCGGAGATTCAGCTATTTTCAATATGATAAGCAGCATGTAGGCTGTTTTTCGTCTGCGGTTTCTTTTCTAGATTTCTACTCGCTGATATCGTTGCCTGACATCTAATGTAAGACAGAAACTTGACATTCTATGTGGTTCCTTTCTATTCAGAATATTGTCAATTTTTGAATAGTAAGTGCCTTTCATGGTGGGAACTTTGCTTACCTGGAGTCTATACCCACCATGATAGGCATTGTAGCTGTATGTTATTGAGTTTACTTCTTATTGTGATTGTATACAAAACAAGCAGAATGCAATGGCATAGAAACATGCTGCATAAGTTTCCAGGTATTGTAGTTAATTGATCACAAGAAAACATGGAACCATGCAATCTACCTTATTTACCAAACACTCTAAGAACAACATAATAAGACATGTCATTTTTGCATTCAAACACTATATTTTTTGCGAATTCCTTGAATTCGTTATTTCGCTCTGAATCTGCTCTGCTTAGTGCATTTGTTTTCATCGTTAACAAAAATTCTTTTTTGAACAGTTATTAACAGATGTCACCCCAACCCATGCAAGAACGACGGCTTTTGTCATGACCTTGACGAAGACTATCGGTGTGGCTGCTCAGCTGGTTTCATGGGCAAGAACTGCGAAGGCAAGATTTCTTCATCTACCCTTTAAAGATTTAGACCTTGGCTTGGCTCTCCGCATCAACACTGTCAGATAGTTATAATACGTGTTGGTATAAAGGGGGTCTTCCGCACTCGGTGCTCTCTTTTGACAACGATCATGTGTTACCAGACTTAAGGTTTAAAAATGACTTTAAAACGTCAGAATAATTATCGAGGCAGCCTTTCCACTGACCAGGCTTAAAACAACAACGGGTCAGAAGTTATCCGTTTTTGCGCTGCGTTCCCACTAACCAACTTGGAAAGCGGATAAATTTAAAAACGGGTCTTCGAAATCCGGGTATCTTTTGTGGGCTAAAGGGAACGCCAGGTCTGGATAGCTTCTAATTCATTTACAACAACAACAACGTATTATAAAAATTCAAGGACTGTTGCTGTAAACACTGCTTTCTCATGTAGCTCCGCGTGCATTGGTTTCTGATTATAATTATCTAAATCTGATTTACCTGAAGTGTAGAGGGCTAAGTTTAAATTCAAGCCTGGGTATCCTAAATCCAGCTTAGTGGAAACGATCAAGTACGGATTAGGACGAGTTTAAAGGAAACTGGCATTTCCATTTATTCACATTTTAACATTTTAACCTGTTTTTGTTTTAACCCTGGCTAATGAAAACGCTGCATCTGTCGCTAGCTCAAACCTTAGGAATACCAATCATTCCTCGAACATTCTCAGCCACAAAATTTGAAGCTTGTCAATTCTAAATTGTTTTATTTTAACAGACAGCGTTTGAGATCATTTTTCATACAGAAAAACTCTCAGTACGAGTTTATATTAAACCTTTGTAATATTCTGCAATAAATAGCTCGGTTTTTTGTATGAACAATCTCCAATCCATTTTTATCAGGTGTTGATTATTGCACCAATAACCCGTGCAAAAACGGAGGCACATGCATCAACTTAGACGACAAATTCGAATGCATTTGCTCTGAAGCTTCCAAGGGCTCAAGATGTGAAGGTATGTCTTTTGTCATTAATTTTGTTCTGAGCAAATCGATGTATTTGATTCATCTTGATGATGCCAGTCCTTCCTATGACCATTTTAAGAATTATAGTACCAGAATCTTCATAGAGGTAGTTGACTTTGTCTAAATATATGTCAAACAAAAACCGTATTTTTCTCCTTGAATTAATGACAAGATCATACACGTTTATTCAAACCTCCTTTAGCTCACTTTTCCTGACAGCAAGTTTCACAATGATACGGTTTCACAAAGTCTTAGAATGTCCCCTTTTACAACATGTTTTTATATACAATGTTAAACAACCTTCCTCTCTTTGTAACTGATGACAATTCATTTATTGATCATCGAACCATAAATGTTTCCATCCCAGGGCTGTAAAGGCAATTGAATTCAATTCCAGAAGGAGAGGGGGGGGGGAGAAATTTCATGGCAACCGGCAAACGTTTGCATAAAAGTATGAGCAACAAGACGGCCTATTTTTAATAATTTCATCCAGATTGTCCGAAAGATCCAAAATTTTTGGGCAGGCTACGACACCACTTTCTCCCAGGCGTCAATCCTTCCTTAAAGATAACAATTTTTAAGCTCTGATAAAGTTCAACAATATGTGGAATATTGTCAATATGATTCAAAAGGATGTTGTTATTGATAGAGTTTGATCATTGCCATAATTCGCCCTGTCTAAATGGAGCGGCTTGCACAAACACTGGAGCCTCATACACATGCGCCTGCCAAGAAGGATACTCTGGTACACGCTGTGCAAGTAAGTGGCCCACTTTCTCACACATCCAATTAATCACCGAACTTATTGATTCAAAGTTTTACTGTTATTCTACATTAATTTCAGATATTCCAAATCCTATATTCTGCCTAATAATTCTAATTATCCTAACATTTATTAACACTAAACAATAACTTGACATTGCGGAGGCTTTCAGGTTTTCAAAGTAATCTTCTGTTTTCTATTATCTTTCGCTACTACGATCATCGAATGGTCAGTGATAAATTCGACTGTGTTTCAATTTCGTCTTCACGACCTCTGAAGACCCGTCACCGCCAGTGGGTAGTCCGCTTAGTCACGTAGGCGGTGGGCCTCTAAAGTAGAGAGGGCTGTTTTAGGAAATTCTTTTAGAGCCATGTTTTTTTAGAAAAATTTCCTGCCTTGTTGCAAAATGCTACACACTGTTATTGGAAGAGAATTACTGGCCTACAAGTTGCATAGCAACTTTGGAATTGCATTCGAGCCGCAGATAGATTCTCAGACCTATTGCGAGCATTTTATTGAAAAAATCTTTCGGGGGAATGTTTGCTTGAAGTGAAGCGAACCATATTATAATCCTAAGAATGACTGCAGAACTCTGTTCATTTATTTTTTTGACGACGTAAGTCTAATGAGATGGTTATAATTGCAGTAAGGGCGAGCAGGTGTCTTCCAAATCCATGCGCCAACGGTGGTTCGTGTATGGATGAGGATAATGGATTTAGGTGCTCATGCACGAGTTCATTTGCTGGTAAAACCTGTACAGGTACTAACACAATTAACTTATTAACCTCCTTACATGATAACCTCTGCAACTAACTAACTAACTCATTAACTCATTCAACAAACGAATCCATATGTAATTCACAAAGGGTATCTAGGCCATGAAATCTAACCTAAATTAAAATCAGTATTTTTATCAAATATGGACATTTTGTTGAATTTGCCTGTTAATACCACTTTCTAAGATTAATTTTAAAATTTACAGTCAATTTTTACATGCATATTTTACGTTTGACGCTCCTAGTGCTCATTATAATAAGTTTAGAGAACTAGATATAGGAAATTACTGTCTTTGCTAATAATTTTAATATTTTACTTTGTAGTTATAAAATTTAGAAATATTTCAGTAGATATTGAAGCAATTCAAGTAATATCTTAGAGTCAATCATAACATTGCATGAAAATCAATAAGGTCTAAACCTTTACCTAGGATATTTTTCCACCTGCAATATTTCTCATTCTCGCAGCTTTTTTAGATTAAATGTTAAAGATAGATGAGTCTTTGAGATAGTAGAATGCAAATTAATTTCTCAAATTCAATTTACTCAAAACTTATTCTCAATCGGGCAATAGATAATACCTAAAAATAAGGGAGGGGAGGGCGAGTAGAAAATATGACAGAAACTTTTGAAAAATGCTTCTTTTCAAGATGAGGAGATTCTTGCCATCTAGAGGTGCTCGTCGGCAGATTTGCCATATAGGGGTGTGATGGTGCCTCCGATTTTCAGGCAAATAAAGGACAGCATACCGACCTTTTTGACAAATTTGAGCCACATTTTAGAATGAAGGCTGCAATTGTTTTTTCAATAATTGTCTGTCTTATTGTTTTAACATGTTCACGATCATTTTCAGCCGAAAGCTATTGCCATTCAAGTCCTTGCATGAACAGTGGTGTTTGTGTTGAAAAGCCTGGGGGATACAGCTGCATATGTGCTGACCGCTGGACAGGACAGCAGTGTCAAGGTTTCTCATTGAGTCATTGTTTTTTTAAGATAGGCCATTCATAACATCAGAACTGTTTACAGCAATGCTGCCTCATTTTCATACTGTCCCATCTCCGGACTGTCTCTACTATGGCTGCCCCTTCTTGGTATTGCCTCTTCTTTGCGTTGGCTTTCCTTTGAGATGTCATGGATATTTCCTTTTCTATCTGTTCCCTGAGCATGCAATGCTGCGATCCCTCAACCAAGTTTTATTTTCATCTTCATTTAGTATTAACGGCTTCGGTTGAATTTCAACAAACACTATTGAAACTTAGGCTTGGTATCGTATTTATTCATAAGTGTGATTTGATTATGTCGACCGGCTGATATTGGAACGTATACCTTGATGAGTATGTTTAGCGTAATATTTGAGCCATTCATAATAATACTTCACAGTTCACAATAGTACTTGCTTTGCTAAAAATGTCTTCTTTGGGCTGCTATCTCAAAATATTATCGAGGTTTTGTAATATTGATTGATATTGTTTGTTTCTAGAATTGCATCTACGTGGAATTTCTGCCCTTTTTATAAGTAACAATATTCTTATTTGCGGAATATTTTATAAACGATAAAATAGAATTATTTGAAATTAATGATTTAATGTTCAATCTGGTTTATGCTTTGAAAGTAACCATTCACCTTCGTAACAGAGAGAAAGGAAATGGGCTGCAGCAATTGTGACGATCACGCAGAATGTTTTCATGGAAGCTGCGTTTGCAAAATCGGTTATTCTGGCAATGGTCATGTTTGTGAAGGTATGAGTTTCAAGTGCCATGCATAACCATTTGTATGTTTTGTCTCATTCTCAAAACAGTATATTTTACTCACATTGATAACAATGCACTGAATAGAAAGTCTATTTATACATAGAAAGAGTCTTTGACAACCTTTTTTGAAAATAAGCTTTGCAAAATTTATCGTCTATGTATCTCGCTATAGACAATGCTATTAATAAAAACATAAATTAGCAAGAAGGATTTTTCTGCAGATTTTTGAGTTAGAAGTACTTACTTCAATTTACTGAAAAGTTTCTTGGAACTGTGAATTCAGCTGCTCCTTGCAAAATCCTTTTTGGCAAAAAACAGTTGAATTTTCCTAAATCAACAATCGAGTGGTGAAACTTTTCTATAATTTTCAAAAACACGAGGCTTGTAATTTTTTTTCACAATCAGTCAACTTTGCCAGCCCGCCTTAAAATTTCTTCGATTGAATCGAAGTTTGACAAAAATTTTGGTTGTGATAACTTTTTGTGCAAGAGCTTTGAAATCAGAAAATTTATGTAACTAGTTCAATCAAGAAAGTTCAATTTTCATTTCTAATATTTTGCTTGCAACCTTTTCATAAAACTCGAAGTTGCACGGTAGTGACTGACATTATTTCTCTCGTCTCACCTTTTTCTATCAATATTTTCATATCACCGATTCCTAATTCAACAGTTCAGTCAAAATGCCATCCAAATCCTTGTGAGAACGGAGCATCGTGTCGAGATATTGCAGGAACTTATGAATGTCATTGCGCATCTGGTTTCATAGGAAGGAAATGCGAAGGTTTGTAAAATTTGTTTGGGTTTTCTGATTGCAAAACATATATATTTGTCACCAAATGTGCATAAAAATATCTATCAAAGAGCATGGCGATGGCAGGATGAGAAGGTCTATTGAAGCCCGAAGGATCTTGTAGCCAGTCTGTTGTCTTGAACATAGCTAAAATATATTTTTTTCCAATCAAAAAATTTTGTTCTTTGGCCTACCTCCAATTCTTTTTTTCGTGTACTCTTTCTTATTCTTCACTATTTACTGCAACAAATTTTCCTTTTTGTCAATCAAATTATAATAGTAATGTACCTATAACTGAGATTTATGTCAACCAGCCAGTTACAAGAGGCTACATTTGTTATAGGCAGAATTGCACGGGGTCTAGTGTTTAGAACAAGATGATTCTAAGTTGCATTTGCTAGTTCAGCGTCTCATGAAATCAACATGTAACCATATGTCTGATGATCCCATTAAGTGTAAAAATCGGACTTCCAACCCGGAACCTAGTGCACTTTCCATACTAAAGTATACCTGTAGTTTCATTTATGAATTAAATTTTTAGAAATGAATCCATGTTTTTATAATCCATGCAAAAACACTGGAATATGCAATTACATCGGCAAAGGAGAATACCTTTGCATTTGCAGTGAAAGATGGCATGGCCGGCATTGCGATGGTATGTTTGCATTGCGATGTTCGCGTACTTAACTCTTGATATGAATCTTTATTTCTATAACCCATCTATTATTTTCCATTACCCTCTTTAATTACTAATTCTCCGTTAATCATACTAATCCAAGCATCAAAATTTGGTCTTATCAGATGTTAAACTCGACATTTTTGTTGAAAACTTTTTTGTAACTAAATAATTCTGTTATTTGATTTGATAGAGGTTTTTTTCCTTCATTTAATGTATTTTCTACCCCTAACTATACGCTCCTAGTATGGGAGTGACTAAAACCCCGCTTGTAAGTCCACAAGCCTCAGTATTGCTTGCGGTCACTTGTCTAATATATTATCTTTTTCCTACTAACCTCTATCTCAGAAATCGATCCATGTGCCTCGACTCCATGTCAAAATGGTGGCACTTGTGTTAGTGAAAAAGAAACGTTCAGATGCGTCTGTGGATCTAGATTCAGTGGAGACTTCTGTGAAGGTCCTTTTACTAATCAACTTACTTATTAAAACTCTTAACTAATCGAAATAACTTCTTCTCTTTATAAAATAAATATCTTTTCTACTTTATTCTCGCCAAAACTCACCTAAGACTCAGCTAATATTCTCCTATGCAAGCGTAACATTTTTTAATATTTACTTTTAGAAATCTTTGTCAGATTGTTCAAATTCAGCAGAAAATTAAAACCAAATATTAGTTGCTAGAAAATGTAAAATGTGTATCTCCGAACTATAACAGGATTTGTTTGACTCCATTTCTAATTAATTCGATCTTTTCTTCATTTGTCTCAGTGATTTGAATTCTATTTCAGTTGATCGTTGCGGCGACTGCGATATTCATGCCTACTGCGAGCATGGACATTGTGTTTGCCAGTCCGGATTTTTTGGGTCGGGATATTCTGGAGACTGCAAAAAAGTCAACGAAGGTATGTCTTATCTTCAATTAATCGATGATAACAATATTTTTAAATTTTCTTTTTTTGTTTCAAATTTTTTATGACGCAAAGCTATTTTCAAGTGATCAATACCATTAAGGTATTTGATAATGACCAAAAGTATAGCTCGCTCCTACTATCAAACTGATGTCAAAGACCATAAGCACGATTAGGAAAAATTACAGACGCTCGTATACTAGTGAGATTTCCTAGAAAATATTTTTAGATGCATCAACAAAGAATAGAAGGAAAGTAAACTGCAAGAGAGAAGCAGAGATCGAAATAGAAGAGGAAGATGTAGCTTTTGACTTAACCTGTGTATTTTCTTATCGTTTTAGAAAAACCTCCTCCGACCCTAGCTTGTGAAAGCAATCCTTGCAAAAATGGAGGAACGTGTGTTGACGAGCCAGATGGTAAATTCAAATGTATCTGCAAAGACAGCTACGTAGGTGTCTATTGTGAAATCAGAGAAAGTAAAGGTTGGTACGATGATTCTTTTCTAAAGCAGAACATTGAACTTCATGAAATTTCATTTTGAAATAATTTTAACAATTAATTTCTATCTAGCTAACAAAAATAGAGTTCTAGAATTTATCCTATAATGATCTTAAGTGAGGAAAACTTTCACCTTAATGTCTCATTAAACATAGAAATATAAATTTTTGAGCGACTTTTACATTCGGGAAAACAAGAACTCGAAGTGTGCTCTCTAAAGGAAGTAAGAAACATTTCTGTTGCTTAGGAAGACAAATTTCAATATGCTAAGTTAGCTAGGATATATTTACGAAGCAGAAAATATTCTAGGGGACCAACCTCTATCTCTGACTTCTAGTTAGAATCTATCATTTATAATACCTTAGTTTGAGTAGTATTCCTTTTTGAACTCACGGCCAAATCCAAATAAACATTAGCATCAAATTTTTACAAATAATCATAACAGTATTGTATGTTTGCTTCTCAAATAAAGAAGTAAGGTTTAGGCTAGTGACAATCAATTACTACAGGAAACCCCCATTTAACGTAAATAGATTGATAAAAAGGCATTTGATACAACATCGTTTTATGTTGTCCGTTATTTGGCACTGTCCGTTATCAGATAGTGTCCGTTGATAGAGGTTTCTCTTAATCAACTTCAAATGCTAACTCTTAACTGCTAAAGAATAGGTGTGAAGCACTGCCGATGTCTATCTTATGTCCTAAGCATGGGTATGAAATCCTAGCACTAACCATAACACTAACACTAAACTAACATTACAGGGGGCGGCGATCCGTGTTCATCCTTGCCCTGTCTCAACGGCGGAGTGTGTATCTCTGAAGAGACAGGAACGTATACTTGCAAATGCCAGTTTGGATTCTCTGGCAAAAACTGCGAAAGTGGACGTAAGAATTTTGCTGACAGTATCCTGCCTCTTTAATACCCATCAGAGTGGACTCATCAGAGAGGGTTTAATACCCGTAATTAGCACTTAGGAACACGTAAGGGGGAGAGTGCTCTCCAAAGATGGGAAGAGTGCTCTCCCAATAAATTGAAAGAAGCAAGAACTGGAAATCTTTTTAAATTACCAAGATGGCTGAACCTGTTTTTCTTGAACCGCACTATGATATCAGCTCTCTCCGTCGCAAGTTTTAACTGATCATTTCCTTCCAACTGATTATGGCCATCTAAAATCTGAAACTACTTTATGAAACATATTATCGACACTGCTTTATTTATTCAATATTCTTTCCAAAAACCTAGTATTAGTCTATTAAGCTTTAAGTGACACTTTAAGTGGTGTATTACGCCTTTGAAACTTCTTCCCTTTGCATTACTATCTAATAAATAACCATTTATTTTGCGTCTAACATTAACTATTCTATAATTACGCATCTCTGCATCTTTGCTTGCTTATCAACTTGGTAATATGTTATTGCATATAGTCTCGGGCAATTTATTCAACATAACAATGTCACAATGCATGCAAAGTATACACACAATAATATCAATTTTCATAAAATTTATTATGCCACCAAAGTTGCATATCTCGTTGCATTTTCAATCTGGCTTAATGAACATTTATTTTGCTTTCTAGCTATGGGTGGAGCACCACCAATGCCAGAAAGAGGTCAGGGTGGAGCTCCTATTCCGACCCCCACTCCACCCAGACCAGCAACAAAACCTTCACCACCTAAAGATGAAATGTGTCATCCGAACCCATGTCAAAACGGAGGAACGTGCAAACCTGGTCGCAATGGATCATATAAATGCATTTGCCTCGTTGGCTTTAGTGGCGGTCACTGCCAAGGTATGTTCGACAATTTCATCTTATGAGAACTTGCTTGTTGACCTTTGCATTAAAAAGGACATCATTTCCAAAAAATGGAAAAACATTCATAGTCAATTCAAGCTTTTTCAATTTGATTGGTGTCGAGAACTGACACCCGGTTTCCGTAACAGTTTAACAATTCTTGAGATTGATCTTATCAACTTAGGCCCTTAACTAAGATGCTCACAAATTCACCGAAAACTTCGCCAATATCTACACCAACCAACGAGTTTTGTATAGTATTCTCGGGCAATATCTACACCAACCAACGAGGACTCAATACTAAAATGTATAGCCTTGCTTAATACTATTTGTTTCGAAGGTTAGAATTTGTCACGATAAATTCGTATTACGTTTTATACAAATTTAATTATAAGTGTTCTAAAATTGCCAAAAATATAGTAATATTTTATATGTGATATAACTAATTGTAAAATAAAAGTAGTTCATCTTTTGTATGAGTGGAGCAAAGTTCTTTGCATTTGGTAAAATCAGTTCACCATAAACTTTACCTTTCCTCATTCCTAATTATGCCGTCAAGAGGAGTATGAGCTGTTCCTAGATTAAAATTGTTCTCAATTGAACAAAATAAGCTATTCTTTGACTTGATCAATTGTATTTTGTCTTGCCGTCTTTTGTCTCCATTGTCACTGCTTCCAGAGTGCCATGTCTCTGCTTGGAGTTCAAGAGTTCAAATATCACTGATTTGTTTTATTATTTGGAACCATGTTGTATTTTCAAATCTTGTCATCCTTTCCTGACTCACAGAGGACATCTGTGCCGAATGCGATGTTCATGCGATCTGCGTAAGAGGCAAATGTCGATGCAGGGCCGGCTACATAGGAGATGGCTACGAGTGTATCCGAGGCATGTAAATCTTAAAATCTCATGTTTATTACTAATGTCATGTCATCACAATTTATTCATGAAGTTGTTGCTGGAGGGAAGGAGCTCTTTGTAAAAGATGCCTGATAGATCACTGATAGAATACTTCTTGCACCTTTCTTTAGTTACAGTATGAGATTTGAGAAAGACCCATCTGTTAGTGATCCAGCTACTGAATGATCCCCCGTCCATCTAGTCGAAAAGTACGCTAAATAGATTTTGATCACCATTGAGCATGCCTTTTAAGAGACGGGGATAGCTCTTTCTCGAAAGATTTTAGGTTGCTCAACTTCATAACATTTACATACATATCATCATGCAATTATCAATCTTCTTTATGCAGGCGATCCCTTCATTCACCAAATTGATTGCATGTTGGTAGAATACCTTCAACGCTAATGGTTTAACATTCTCTTTACAGATGAGTGCAGTAAATGCCATCGTGAAGCCCGGTGTATTTCCAGTACAACCTGTGTCTGCAACCCTGGCTACGTTGGCGATGGACAACATTGTTCAAGTGAGACAGCTTATGTTGAGACTTGCTTTTAGAAAATTTATAGAAACAAAAAAAGAAAAAACAGATGTCTTATCCATGGTTGATACCTCTATAAACCTATGTCTATACACTGGGAATGAATTTTTAAGATTCCTAAGAATAAAGGTAGAAATGTGTTTTCTGCTGTAAAAAAAGCTGTATTTGCAGTAGAACTGGCTGCATTGTTCTCAAGTTATTGTAATTCACAAAAATGATTTAGCCTTTTAGAAATATACCAAAGTACACATTCAAATTGGGCGTGGTGATCGTTTCTAAGCCATCTTGTCTTGAAACTCAGTTAAATAGGAAAAAAGTGGAAAAAATGGCCCGAAAATCCAAGTTGGGCAACAGTAATCAAGTTGAAATCAATTTTTTAAATCAACCCAAATGGCTAAAATTTTACAAACATTGTTTGTTTATCACTGTTGCTTATTTTTCAGGAGAGCAGCCTCCTGCTCAGCAAACGAGCTGCCCTGCTGGATGTGCTTCGCAGTGTGCAGAACAATGCCCAATCGCCTGCTGTCCACATGATTCCTACGTCCCACCTCCACCACCCCCTCCGCCTCCACCCCCTCCTCCACCTCCACCAGCACATCACTGCCCAACCATATGTCATTCACATTGTTACCCTAGTTGTCCAATGAATTGTTGTCCACATGGTGCAGCGCCACCACCACCTCCTCCACCACCACCGCCGCCACCAACGCCACCACCGCCACCACCACCACCTCCTCCGCCACCTCCACCACCACCGCCACCACCACCACCACCAATGCCACCTCAAACTGTAACCAACACAATTTCTGTGATGGACATTTGTCCTCCAGTCTGTTCTTCTAATTGCTTGCCATTTTGTCCTCAACTATGTTGTGCAGCGCCAAAGCCACCGCCACCACATCGTCCTCCCGTGAGGCCACCTCCACCGCCACCACCCCCACCGCCTCCACCACCTCCTCCTCCACCACCCCCGGCACCACCACCACCTCCTCCTCCCCCACCTCCATATTACCCTCCAATGCCTGTAATTAGCCAATGCCCTACTGGCTGCTTCTATAATTGTGATGGCAGATGCAACCCAGCTTGCTGCTCAGTAAAACGTTCATCATTGCCACGGGGGAAAGCAGGTAAAAATACTAGAAACCTCCGAAAGAACTTCAATATGTTACTTAGATAATTGAGAATGTATGTTTTGTATATGAGCATTGGTTGACAAAGCATTCGCCCATCGTACATGCATGCTGCTTTGGGAACATATACCATTCTGAAATCAACCTATACCACTCGAGCTATGGTAAAAGTGAGGGCCATTGTGGAGACATCAGTATAAAAAAGACTCGTAATTTGTCCATAAACATCAAGCTACTCAGTTCGAATGAGTTACCTATACTCTTCATAAAATTTGGAAGCATAGGTCTGTCTCTCTCCAGCTTCCATGGAAGCTTTTCTTGTATGCATAATCAGTACGTTGAAATTAGCGCATTTTATCATTTTTAACATTTATACGAATCCATGATAATTTATTTTTTGTTCACCTTTCATTTGAATAAGTGACTTTCATGCCAATTATAGGGAGTTGCTCTTACTATTTCCTTATGTTGTTGCGATGGGCATAACCTAGGAAGAGTTTAATTGCAGATCATTTGATACACTTTTGTACTGAGTTGCGGAACACAAAAGGGACACTATGATATAGACCATTTCTCTTCCCCTCCACTAAAATTTCAGCTAAAATATTCACAATGCCTTTAGGCTATATTGTCATCATGCTCTGGATGAAATCTAAAGCTAGGACCAACCTTTGTTGACAACCACAATCCCGATCAAATTTATTACTAGCATTTTAAAACATACACATTTTCCCCTTCGAGTTTTGGAAATTTCACAATTTTTGGACATGCTATTTAGTGGTTGCTTTAAGTTTAATTTTATTTAAGTTTATAAGTTGTGATACAAATTACTTTAAATATATCCATAACAAGTTATAGCTAGAGGTGGATAACCATAAAATGTGTCTCAGATCCCACTTAAGACATTGTATATGCAGTATGTAGATGCGAAATAAAGAATTGGTTACCTGACAATACAGCAACATCTTATTCTTATTGGAACTTAAAAATTCTAATACTCCTAGACGAAATAATCATTAGCTCTCTGTAGGAAAGGAGATGCTTGTTAATTTTTTATCATAATATTAAGAAACGAAACGTATTTGTAAAATAGAAGTATTTTACGTTGATCATGAAATATATCAAATAAATTTAAATCTAATTACTTTCTTCTTTATCTTCATCATCTTTCATAATATTAGTTAAAAAAAAATTTTCCTAAAATTTTTGATAAAAAATAAATTTATAAAAATCTATTTTTGGCAAAGTATAACTTAGAATTATAAAAAGATACAGATTTGACATGATATCAATTAAGTGTTTGAACAGTGTTAAATCCATTCCAGTTGAATTAAACCAATTCATATCTCAAACTGTTAAGAAAGCAATTTAGTTTTCAAATAATTTTTTTCTGTATATATCAGTTTTTGAGCTATATAAAGTTCATTCTGTGTAAGTATACTAGGTTTTTTAGAATGGACATAAAAACGCTTTTACACTTGCACATTTTACAAACAATGAAAATATTTTACTTTTTAACAATGAAGACAGAGAATGGGTAGGTGTATCTTGTGAAAAGGTATTAATTTAGAGCCTAAATAATTGACAAATGCCAAAAAGTGAAAAATCTTGGCCATTTGAAATAATTATTGGCATGAGAAGGTTCAATGTTGAAGAAACTTAGGCCATGTTCGTATCTATATATGCATGAACGAATGTATTTTGCTCTCTGCAAATTATTACCCTTTCTTCAGTGTATGGGCTATCCATTGCTCGAACCAGCCTAGCATCATTCAATAACAAGCTATTCTGTTTCGAGCCCCCACAAAACATCAGATTCAAAGCTTGATAAAACAATTTTACTTTTGCAAAATAAATGTATAGTTTACGAATTCTTTGGTCAATTTCGCCAAAGGTACCTTTCGTTCTTTCAAGACTACCTAATGCTCTAGAGTATCCTTAGTTTCCTAACTTGTTTCAATTGGTCCTAATTTGACCAATTAGACCAGTTGTGCATAATTTGTTCCAATTCTTTTTTTATGGAAAAGGGGCTTTCGCACGATTCAGGTTTTTATAAGGAACCTGTTTATATTACATGTAGCTTCATTGTTAAATCAATAAAGGTATATGTGAACAATTTGAACCAACTGAAGAAAGACAAAGACGGAATTATTGAAGAAAAATCGAGGCGAAATTTGATATGTTTAACTTGAAAGCCTGCAAAATTTCTTAATTCGTTGAAAGTATATCAACATTTTTCTAGTTTATTTGATTGAAAATTTGTTACGAAAATTCAAAAAATGAACCTAATTAGATGTAGGCTCGGAATATTTTACCATTACTGTTACTTTATCATAGTCCCAGTCTTTATAATTTGTCTTGCATGATAAGGAATACCAAACTAAAAAAGTTTTTCTGTAAATGAGTTCTTATCAAACAACGCACAATCAACATTGAGGATACCAACGAAAACAAAAAGTATGCTTTACCAACAGCAAGGGACCTTGAAAATTGAAAATTGCAGGTTTTCAAAATTGGCCTATAATTCAGGCCAACTTTTTTACGCTCAATATTTTGTAATATTGCCAAAAAGCCCTTACCTTAACTGTAACCCTACCCTTTACCTTGATCCTAACTCGAAATTGTATTCTTTCCATGACTCTGATCCTTACTTGTCACCGTCATCAGCCTCTCTATACCTTAGGTATTCTGTTTTGTAGCAGTTAAGTGTTTTCTGTTAATTGTACCCTCTTTTCGTCAAATTGTAGAGACAGTACCAACCCCCTGCTGCTATAACCCCACTCAAACTAGGCAATGGAGAGTACGTTTTTATATGTCTAAATTGTAACTGTTCCAGAAATGCTTTAGTAAACGTCACAACGTTGCAGCAAGCTTATTTGAAATCATGCTTATACCTTTCAAAAGGTTGGTCATGTTTCAAGTAACAGACTGTCCCCTCCTTCTTTGCAATGTTGCTTGACTTTTCAATTATAGAATGCCAAGGCTGTTGTTTGATTGTACTGAATGACCAAGTTCCAACTGTTAATATTTGCCTTGATCTTTGTGGGCATTGATTCTAATGCTGGTCTCTAGATACGGTTTCCAAACTTCAATGCGTAGATCTTGTAGCTTCCTTGGCAATTTTACACTGCTTAGACAATGCGCTTCCATATCTGGTTTCTTTTCTCATGTCAAAAAGTTTGCTTATAGCCTTCATATGGGTCATTTTTTTAACTTATCGAAATTTTCCAAGCAAGCTGTTGCAAATTATAGAGAAATATTTAGTTCCTCCACTAAATGGCTACATCCCAATCAATTTACTTTTGTCTTTGCATAAAGTTGTCCGTCCTTCAATGTTTTAATGTTATCATGGTGTCTGATGTTACTAGTTCTTCTTGACAATGTGATTTTTTATGCATCTTTGGCAAGAGAACCGGTTGCCCAAAGATTCTTACGCTTGCTCTGCTTTAGATTGTTGTGATACTGCAGTGATCAATGCTGCAAAGTTAAAAACTACTCTTTGTGACTAACAAAAGTTAAATAGTTTACGAATTGCACTGTCATTGAAAACCTTTAGCGTAGCATTTCAAACTCAAGCACTTTTCTCTCTACTCAACTAGACGCTCCTCCGATTCTCTCTTCCATTTCCTCCGCTCTAGTACCCAGGGTACTTCGGTAGAAGCTGAGATGTGTAAGAGTTTTACAACGCAAAATCTAGCAGAACTTTGAGTTAAAAACAACCACAAATTAGATGCGCAACATAATACACCTTCAAGCTTTGGATGCTCGGATAGTATCTTCAGATCAGCTGTGCATATGAGTTTCTTAGACTGGTTTATGGTTTTGTACAACTGTTTAAATTACCTTTATTTGGCTTAATAGAAGACAATTTTGCTTAGATTTCCGATGCCCTAATAGAAAGTCTACACCTGAAAGCTTTGAGTAGGATTACTCATTTGTGATTCTGTCCTCCTGTTAATCATTGAGAAAATGTCTTCTACAAGTTGCGCCTCAAGCACAATGAATGGTGAAAATAAAGGTATCGGTTGGTCAATTTAACCCCGAGCTGCTATCCTGCTTGTTTTCGCGTCTAAATGTTTATTGCTTTTGTTGAGCGTCGCAGTGATAAGTGAAGACCTTCAATCTGTTATCTCTAGTTGCAAGGTTCACTAAACTGGGTTTGAAATTGTTGTATTGTTAACCGCTTAAGCGTGTCCATTGTGCGACCAATCGTAATATCTGTAGCAGTTACAATGCGCAGCGCGTCGGTCAAGTGCAATCAAATCATCGCGCTTTGCTACCTGCACTTGCTCCAAGGACTGCATCCTGAAGCTAGAAAATACAAGAAATTTTTTGTTTTGTATGTTGATATTGATTTTATTTTGTATCGAAGAAATCTAGAAGATGCGACGCTTTCGACATTGGCAGTATTAGCTGTTACAATATATACGATGCCAGACAACGGAAGATGATTTGCCTGCTCAACAGTGACTGGCTCAAGGATGTGTTTGTATTTGCGCGGGGCCTGGATTGCTTTTGCAATTATCAGTATTGTTTTGATTTGTCAAACAGAAGCGAAGAGGCACGATAGTATTCATCACAAATCAGGCCATGGAAATGCGGGCCGAAACGAGAAAGTTAACCATGAAATTAATAGAAGAACCCACGTTTCGATTGATCGCCATGCGGTCACGGAATCGAAAAATCCGAACTATCGACGTTCCATGAAGCGCGTAAATGTCACTCAAGAACGAAAGTCGAATTTGCTCAGTCGTAAAGCAGAGGATATATTAATGGACGAAATCACTGGAAGCGACCAGGCAGCAAATCGGGCCGAGATCTCGTACAATATCCCGAAAGAACTAGAATTTCTGAAGAGTTCAATGAAAGAAGGTGATATAACAGACATAGACACTGCTAATATGATTGATTTGAATGAAAGGAAAGGGGCATATTTGCCTGTATCACAGGTCAAAGCTTCTATCAATAATCTTCCGGCACAAAATTTACTAACCGAACAGTTCAGGAACATATCCGGATTGCCGGAATTTATGTTCAGGAAAGCTTCCAAGTTACGGAGCAAGAAACCGGTATCATTGCTAGAAAAAGTTGCACAAACTTTGCAGCCAAGTGCAAGTGCATTTTCAGGGATAAAGCAGCTGATCGAGGAAAACAAAGTAGAACAATCATTAAAAAAGCACTTAGATAGTATGAACGCTAACCTAATCAATGCGATTGCACATCCCCAACCAAACAACCAGCCAGCTGTAGTAGACACGGTAGACCGTGCTGCAACTATAAATACACTTAACGTTGCAAGTGACCCAGTTCTTAATCCGGCTTATATAACGCCAGTTAATCCGGATCAAATCTACGATGAATCTATATCGCCTCCGGAACAGCTCTTGGATGATTTGTCAGCGGGAAAATTCAAGCACCCACTTGCTGATAAAGATTTAGAGCGTATGTCCGAATGGAATGCAAATAAAGAGTTTCTTGCCGATAATGGGTATGTCAATACCAATGAAGGGATGCTTGCTCCAAAAATGACCCGGGTTGCATCTGATATAATGCCTGTCCGGGATGTGTTTTTAAAACCAAAGATTGCAAAACCAACACTAGGAATATCAAAGGATTCTCTTGAACTATTAAGAGACAATCCAGAAGTACTCGGTCGGAACCAAAATTTGTTAAACAGTCACCAGTTTCATTCATTATCCGATTTAGATTCAATAGGACCTCCAATATATCCGGCAAAAGTTGTCCATCTGCCCCACAAATCGAAGCACATTTTTATGCAACCCAAGCATCTTTACACCCACATTGAGGGAGGAGATTTTCATCATGATGTTAATGAGGGATTTACAAGGGAAAACAGCAACTTTGCGATGAATGATGATAATGAAGACGACCATATGGAAGAGCATATGTATCACCCACATCGACCATGTAGGTTACTTCATTTGCCGTTTCCTAAGAGCATTTTTAAATTGATTTATTGATTAATTCTGATGTTTAACAGTGTTTGAGCAAATTGTGTAATTTACATTTCACAAACAGAAATTGAAATCGTCGAGAACTTTTCTCATAGGCCAACCCTAAACTGCTCCTATCTGAAAATTGTCCATCTTGCTTTGATTTGTGTTTGTCATGGATCGTTAAGGAATGTTGCTAAATGCTTTTTGTGTGGTAAATCTACTAAGAAGCAGCAAAATAAAATTTGCCAAAAAACTCTTTATTCAATCAGTGTCTATTTGAAAGCATCAACCGAATTGCCTTGGACAACATCTTCTCTTTGACAATTATAACTTTTCTCGACAAGCATTGTAACGGAACAGACAGGATGTATTACTGTATAATCATTTCACTATTTGTTTTCTTTGTTAGCTTACAGCGCACGATGTAGTTTTAAACCTTGTTTAAACGGAGGCAAGTGCACGGCCTATATAGACAGATACGTATGCACATGTCGCGAAGGATTCATGGGCATCAACTGCGAGAGTGAGTATAATGCAACATCACTATTATGCAGGGATTCGTTACTCCCTTTACTCCAGGCTAGACATAATATGACTAGGAAGTGTGTACTTCAACAACAGCATAGAATTTGTTGATATAAACGAGGCTCTAAGCTCACATTGCAGTGTTTATGTTTGATTGTGTGTGGTGGCAAAGAGAAGAACTTGAAGTCACTTCCTTTTTGTTTATCTTCTTACAAAGTGGTGCTGACGAATGATAATGAGGTTGTTTAAAGTGTGTGCAAAATAAGAAAGACCTGTATTCAAAACTAGATATAGGCCCTGTTATATCTGTTTTACTGTATATTTTTTTAAAGTCGGGAATCAGGAATCAGTGCCAAAAAGGGGAAGGGTGATATTCAATAATCGATTTTTGTCAAAGTAAAGAACTCTCGTGCCTTTCATAGTACGTCTTATCGTTAATGCATCTTTTACCGGAATATGAAGCAATCCTTTCTTGCTTATCATTGGTTCTTTTTTGCCTTTTCAAGAGCGAAGTTACTGCTACCCTACACCGTGCAAGCATGGGACGTGCTCTTCCAACACCGATGGCTTTGTGTGCACTTGTGAACTGGGATATCAAGGAAAACGTTGTGATGGTATGTTGATGTTGCTGAATAACATGATACCTGAAGATGCATGAAAAAATGATATCAACTGAAGGAAACAAAATCTCAGTTCTTATTATGGTTTGGAATTCTTGACAACAACGATACCCTATAACGTTTCTTTTTGACTTTTTAGTTATTCTGTGACATGCATGCATAAATATCTTTTTATAATTTCATTACAGAGAGGGACAAATGCCACCCAAGCCCGTGTATGCATGGAGGGACGTGTTCGTCAACCTTTACTGGAATATACTGCACGTGTCTTCCTGGGTACAAAGGAAAATACTGTGAAAGTAGGTTCTTTAGTTAAATGCTATAAACAATTCGTAATCTTGGCGATTCGTAATTCGTTTAAAAGGCAAGGAAACTGACATTCCTTAGGACAAACGAGAGAGAAGTCACATTTGCCTCTGCTAATTGGCCATATTAGAGATTGTTTTTTGAAGAGAGCAGCAAATAAAGCTGATCGAAAAAGAATATGGTGTGATTAGATTTGTAATTGAGAAAGGTTTCTTTGGCTACTGAACAAACGGCCTCTGAGTAAACTGCAAGTATATTGCCAATTGAAAGGTCAAAGAATCAAAAATCTATTCACTGTTTCTGCGTATCATGGAATGTGATGCTGTTTTTTGATAGTCAAGAAGAATGTCTTTTTAAACCTTAAAGTCATCAAGGTCAGAACTCAGACACGTATCAGAATACTGAACTCATCTGTTGCTTACCTGAAACTTACTTATTGTTGATTTTCTTTAAATCTTCAACAGCTGAAGCAAAATGTTCCCCAATAAATCCATGTTTAAATGGAGGAAGGTGTCAAGAGATGCCATCAAATTATATTTGCATCTGCAAAAACGGATTTGCAGGAAGAAATTGTGATGGTATTTTCCTTTTCTTTTACTTCGTTTCACTTTGTTTAATCAATTGAATATTATTCTTAAATCATAACATTTATCATCCAACAAGGCAAAAGAATGTGAAAAATATGATATATTGGTTGTTACTTAATAACTAGCAATTTCAAACTCCCTGCAGCTGTGATATATCGAACGGTTTGTCATCTGGCACGTGAATGGATGTAGTCAAATTCGGTTCCAAAAATATTCATTAACTTTGTTATTTTAGCCATTCTGCGGCCAACTTCATTCCCAGCTACACTTGAGCCAAAACCAGTGCCTCCTCAGGCTATTCCAATACCAGCGCACGGGCAACCCCCATTCTTGATGGAAGAGCTGAACAGCCTAAGTGATGGTCCACTGGAAGAGCATCCAGTTCCGGAGACCAAAATCGATGCTGTCCCACTTGATGACCACCACGGTCACCAGGTATTCGAAGAGCATCATTTTCCTGACATTTTTGATGACGATGCAACGAGTCATCACCATGAGCGACATGACCATGATGAACCTCAGCTCGCTATCAGCTCATCGCCTGCTGTCGTGTTGCATTTGGGGGATAGAACAAAAGACAAAAAGAAAGAGGCCCCGAAGGATGATGGGAAAAAGAAAAAGAAGCCACCGACATCTCTGAAACAGGATGACAGATACGTCACACATTTAGTTGCTGCGGCTCCTATGAAAGGAAAAGGAGCAGACGAGGACAAGAAGACACCGGAGGAGAAAAAGCCACCTATGGAAAAGCCAACCGCTAAACAGGAGAAACCGAAAGAAAGAATTCCTACGGCACAGACTTTGATGAGACTTCAAAATCCGCAGAATCTCCGAATGAATGATAACAATGTGTACACAGATTCCACAGGGTATTATGCTCCAGGTGGACTTGACCAGATAGCAGCGCATGGCAACCAATACCAGGGGCCTTCAGTATATGCAAGACCAGCAGTCAAGCACGTCGTTGTAAAGGATGCTAGAATAAAATCCACTAAAGATACGAAAACAAAACCGGGTATCAAGCTGCAGCAGAAACCTCGAGTTGTATGGGCAAAACCAAACACAGGACAGAAAGAAAACAGTAAAGCTAGACAACAACGACCGGGTACAAAAACATTGCCTAAGAAACCAAAGACTTTGTGCCCAGGGTTTTGTGAATCTTTTTGTGATAAATGGTGTGTTAACGTCGGCTGCTGCAAAAAGACTGAAATAGAAGGTCCAACTGAGGCTGGGAATCTTTCTGGAGGACGTTCGCTAAGTGTCGTGGCAAAGAAAGGTAAAATTGTTAATGAAAATGATTGAATAGCAGTGTAAGTACAAAAAATGACGGAGAATACAATGAAAAGTTGAATATAAAAATATAAGAATATAAAAAAGCATACATTTTTATAACGAAAAACGGGATGAAAACATTAAGGGAAAGATTCTTGGAAAGATGCATCCTGCTGCATTAACACTTTGCTTATATCATCTATATTTGGGCAAGTATGCTAAGATTTCTTACAGACATGCGAGATATGTATCTCATATTGTGGGAAAGGACTGTCTACGTCAGGCAATCCGAATTCATTCGTAATTGGATGTCTTGAATGGTAATAGAAGTCTTAAATTTTTCAAGAAAATGTCAAGATTTTGGAATTTTTTTTTATAAAATTAACGACTATCATGCATTTCATTCCTAGTTAACCCCTGACCTTAATTAATCTCAATTAACCCTAACTAATTAACCAAAGTGGTGCTATATTTGCATATCGCGCAAAGTTAATTAATAAAAAATGATTCAAGGATTACACTACACGCTTAACCAAATAGGTTAGCAATTTTTCTAACCTTTTAACTGTAATGAAAGTGGCGTTAACTTGTTTCTTGAGTCAACGATTACCTAAGGAAAAGGAGGCCTATGAAAAATAATCTAAAGCTGCAAAATCTTCAATCAAGAATCAATCATTTTTTGCTTCTTTTTTACATCAAAACTGGATTCCGCTCTTCGGTACTGTTTTCCATTTTTTTCGATACCAATGGCCTATTTGGTTAATATTTATGTCTTGAATCCCACTTTGCTTTGAAAAGGTTCAGACCTGTTTTCTTAAGTGGTTTTCTTTAAATATTAGTTATAAAGCTAATCAATTAATTAACTAAATAATCCTCTTGATTGTAGTTTTAGTCTTGCTTACTCAAAACAATAATACCTTTGCGTAAGTTATTTTTCAAATAATGCGTTAATCGATATATATATATAAGCGAAAAAGTATACAGAATTTACACTAATACATAATAAAATGCTTTGAATGGAAATCTGAAAATGTCTGAGAATTTAATCTAATAATCTAAGTCGTTTAAAACAAGCTCAAGTAACGATTTAAAAGTAGCATTCACCCTAAAGTTTTTTGGTTATTAGATATGCATTTCGTAACATATTGTGATATATAACTTCCTAACATTGTTTATAAGATTGATTTAACAAGTTGTATTTTCTTTGATTTTTCTAACCTTCTAACAGCTTCACAATCCTAATCATTAAACATTAACTTGACATTTTATTTAATGAATGCAAGAATTGCGTTGAATTGCAATGCATTGCGATGCGCAGAAAGGCCAGTCTTTATTTATACACAAGAATGTAGGATGGTGAGTTTTTTCAGTGTACTGATTTTTTCACAAATCTCACTCAAAATAGTAAAAAATATCTGTGATAGTTGATGAAAACGCGGATTTTTTTCGATTTTAGCAATATAAGGGTATGTAAAATAACGAATAATTAAAGCTGACTTCTTCCCTTGCAATCCAGGGAATTAAGAAATTTGAAAAAAATGCCAAAATTACTTACAATAGCCCGTAGTAGCTAGAATATATGATTTGTATACCATAACGTATAAAAATAGGAGTATCGTTAAAATGTCTGAAAATATTGACTAACAGTGTAAAGGGTTGCCCAGTTAGAAAATGGGTTGATCAAATTGTTTATTATATAAAACCACGAGAAAATGCCACCATGGTATTATGCAATAGCCTGTCTTGTTATTGCTGATGAGAAAAGGTTACTTCTGATACAGAAGAAGAGTAAAACGTCGGTTTCACGTGCAGCCTTTTCGTTACAATAACTATCACTTGGAAAAAGTGTCCCTCCAGTTATCGGCAAGATCGATTTTGTATTTCGTCTAAATTCGATGAGAAAATGTTTGGGGAGGGGTGATATTTTGGCAATGTATTTCTTGTGATGTAAAACTATGATTTTAAAACTGAACTTGAGTCATGGGCTTTCCCTATTGGCAAAATTGGCGTTCCTTGTTGGTAAAGGGGCATTTTCTGACAGTAAGTAGGGCATGGTCTGAAAATTTTTTGTATTTTAGAGAGCCTCTTTTAAAAAGATCTATTAAAAAGAGAGTTCTCTTCTTAACTCTTACTTCTTCTATTCTTTTTAGCTGATAAATTGTTATGCTAAAAATGTCGTACTTATCTTTCTTTAGTATCATCATCATAATCATCATAATCATCATGACCATAGCCCCTGTGGAGGCCTTTTGTGTACCCACTGATTGCAATGCTTCTGTCTGGCCCAGACCTGTCCATTGCCTGATGTCGTCGCTCCACATTCTCCGGAGTCTTTCCATTTCCCTGCTCCCTTCTACTTGACCGTGCATGATGAACCGTGGATTAACTCTCAGATGTCTTCTTTCTTCCTTGTAACGTATTCCAACCATAGAAGCATCTGCGCTTCTGCGATGTCCAGAGAGCTTTTTGTGCACAAAGTCGTTATCTAATTGTATTTATTTCTGCTCGACGTACAACTCGCTGAAATACATTGATTTTCATCTTCCAGTAGGTTGCTGAAACGTCACCACATATCCAAGGCCGTAGCCTTGGTCTTAACATCTGTGTATTAACATTTTTAACCACTTTTTCCTGATTTATCCTGAAGCAGTTCACCATATATGAATATTTTAGGTAGACCTTTATCTGCTAGACATGGCCAGTCAATCAGAATCGAACTGATCTCTTTGCTTATATCGATATAGCGAATTGATCTTTTTTGCTTATATCGATGTAAATTATTCTATATATACGCTTAGGTGTGTAGAGCGAGACTGTTATCCCTTGCTACTCCTAGTTTCGCCAAAAACGTGTACAGCTTTGCCTATACGGTTTTGAGTACTTTATAACAGACAAGTGAACAAATATTTTCATGCATTCTCTGCACATTTTGTAATATATCAGGCCGAGTACACAGAAGAGAACAGGCACATTCACGCTAGAGTCCAACTTGAATCACTATCACAAAACAAGGCTATAACAATAGGACTCAAAACTGAACTAATACATCACACATTAGAAACTCAATATCTAAATATGTACGATTTCTCAATCCGGCTTCAATGAAAAACAGATTTCAACTGACTGTTAAAGATTCGTTTTGCAAAGATAACACCTTTTTGTTTCACCTCTTTTTGGCATTTTGGTTTGACAATTTAATAACTTTTCTTTCAAAACTCTGAACAGTCTCGATGAAAGTCATCTTCTACTGATGGATTAATTTAAATAAATGTTTTCTGTGTGATCTTCGACTAAAATTAGGTTCGTTATTCGAACATGTTTATAAGTTTTCCGCTCACATAATTTACTGTTTTTCTGTGCCATTAGGTTAATATCAATTGGGTTGCAGAAATGATTAAAAGTATCAGTATTCAATCCTTTTTATGCATGATAGGTGCTGCAAAAGCAAATTGCAAAGAATGCAATGAAAATGCTGACTGCATTAAGGGAACCTGCAAGTGCAAAGATGGCTTTGTTGGAGATGGAAAAACTTGCAAAGGTATGCTTTTTTAGGTACTAAAGAAAGGCTATCGTTATCGAAGAGAAATGTCCCATAAACAGAAACTGTTATGACGAGATCCTTCTGCGTGAACCATTTTTATATAGAGAAAATATCAGTTAGTGACATGACCAGGACTCAGTATGCTCTGCTAAATCATGTTCTAATATCATTAGTTTGTTGTTATAAGATATTCGTTGCTTTAACCATGTTTTTAAATATTTACCAATCAGAAGGTAATCGGTTAAAGATCAGAAGGTGTAAGCACATTTTCACGCAGTTGCAAGATTGTTTACTATCTTAGAAAATAGATTTGATAAAATGATTTAAGATTTCCTTGCAAGTTGACTTGATTATGCTAATCTTTCGTTTCAGTAAATCCTTGTATATTCTGCCATGAAAATGCAACTTGCGACAACGACACCTGCGTTTGTAAAGTTGGTTTTCTTGGTGATGGCTTGAAGTGCACTCGTAAGTTTAGTTACACTATAATCTATCATCATCATCATCATCATCATCAGAATCAGCAGTTCAGGCCACTGCTGGTTGATGGATTCTGCAACATCAATTTACCCATTTTTGTCATTAACACCTAGCAGACTTGCTGCTTCCCCTAAATGATCATGCTATTTTTTTGGTCTCTCTCTATCTCTTTTAGTTCGAAATTTTCTTTTTGGGCCTCTCTCTGTTTTTTGCATTAGTTATTGAATATGAAATATAAGATGCTGGATATCTTGATAACCTAACGAGTAAAAGGATAATACAAGAATTTATACAAATATAATTTTTCATTTCATATTAAAAATATTGCGAAAATTCTCGTTGAATATGTTTGTAAATACTGCAAAAATTGGCAAGGGGAAGAATGTTTGTATAAGTGTGAATAATTTTATTTACACAAAAACAAAATCAATGTTTTTGCCTGAAAATTCTAAACGATATTTTCTTTTTGTAGCATTCACTAATCATTGTGCAAGGTGCAGCCCCAATGCAGACTGTCTTGACAATTTCTGCTTCTGTAAACCTGGTTACTATGGGAATGGAAATGACTGCTGGCCGAACACAGATCCGATGCTTTAGTGCAGTTTATTGACCTGTACCTGTCTTTTGACACCAAGCGAGCAGTCGAAGCTTAGAACAGAGGTCCATTGGTTGCAAAAAGAATAACATTAACGACTCCGTTACATGTTCATCCCATTAATATACATTAGCTGCACCAGATACTTCGAGAATGAAATAGTTAACAATTCTGGGTGAATGCAACTATGGCAAATAGCTTCTATCATAATCTATAGAGTATCAACCATCAAGAAGCAATTGTCGATGGGAGCCCTGAAGAGAGGCCTTGGAACAGGAAGGTTATCGATTGTTAACTCTGATTACAGACTGAAGAGTAAATCACTTCAAAGCAAAATTAAATTTTTGTAGCTGCTGCTAGAAAAAACTTCAATATAAAAACGCTATAAATATAAAACACTATAAAGATATTACGCTTAGTTATTTTAGGGTATATCGAATAACATCATTACATATAAGAGTGAAGATAATACTTCTAAGGCCAATCGAGCTATGGGCAAAGCTTGCCGTCAAGTCTTTTTCTTTGGATGCTTGAGAGAATAGAATAAAACCATACCCTATATGCAAACATATTTTTATTGTTACTACTTCTAATACTACTCAAAAATATCATTCTCCGTGTAGAAAATTCTCAGTGAATAAGACTCAAACTTTTTAAAGAAACTGAACATTGGCCTAAAATTTAGCCAATTACCCCCAACTTGATGTAAATTGGCCGTAATTATTTCTTCAGTATACATGCTGGATATTCAAATTTTAATTGCAATGAAAATTTTAATCTTTAAAATACATTTGTAATGTAAATAAAGAACAATGACTTTTTGTAATGTAAATTTAATATATTTTTAGATAAAGTAATATTTCTGTCCTTGTATATGACGCTGATGAAATCAGATAAATTGCATCAAAATAAATGGAGCAAAATTTTGATTGTTCATCTAAAGTAAGCAAAAAACTTGAATACTATCGAAATAAACTTTAGAAACGAAATAATTTATAAAACAAAATTTAGATATATGTGAAGAATTGTTTATTACTATATGAAGATTACAATAACGATCATCTGTGGTTGGTCTTCAAATGTTTGTGTGAAATTTTATAGAACGTGTTTGTTACGCGGATGTGACGATGGCTAAAATATGTCATCCTCTCTTTAAGCATATCTAAGCTCGTATACTTTTCAATTTTCTCTTCTAATTTAGTCCGAATTAGTGGAAACACAGCTCATAATTTTTCTCGCCTTTCCGAGAGAAATTCTTCCCGAGTATTAAAATCAGGTAATAACTAAATTTTAACGGCAATTTATTTCTAGTTGCAGATCGATAGTAACATATTAGGGAAATATTCATGTTAAACAAATAGACAACTGCGAAAGCAAAAGTGCCAATTTTTCATTGCGCAATGTTTTGCGCTTCAACATTTTCCAGAACTTTTAGAATAATTGAGGTTCAATGAGGCGATGATATTCAAAGCACAAGTGCAAGTGATGTAGGAAATTATGCTAAGTCTTATGCCTGGGTCTAGACCATCCCCACTAGGACACGATAGCTATGTTTGGGTTTGAGTTTGTACTTGTGTTACTAGTGTTACTAGTGTTACTAGTTAGGAGCAAGCTTTATAGAAGAACGAAAAGTCAATAGAAGTTTGTCATTTATCGCTAAAATACAAAAATGAGCTGAAGATCTTTAAACCTTCATTGGATTAACAAAACATCTCAAATGTTCTCAAAAAGTGTTAAAAAGGTAATGTGATCTATGATAGATTAAAGACAAGGAAACAAAGCTATTGTAAGAAAGTTTAATATTTTTCCAATGGTCGCCTCAAATCCTGTTTTTATGTGAAGCTTCCATCTAAAAATAGAGCATAAAATATGTTGACCAAAACTTTGCTGGCTGACAGAAAATACTAAGAAAGCCTGAAATATAGTTTTCAGAACAAGAGACAAATTTCTAGGCCAATCAATATTTCTTGCTTGCTTTGCTATCGTGTAATGATGACCCATCGTCTCGTACTCAAAATACAAGAAAATATTATTGAAATTTATACGTCAAAGTTAACAGCCATACGTGAGAAGATGACTACAAGGGAGATTACTTTTATCTCCAAATATTCTGGCTAAAGTGAATCAGACCAACAATGAATACTTACATTGTGGATTTTTGTACTTTAAATAGTTAGTGCATCCATGCGGAAAATTGATAGCATGGTGCCTCTACTGTTTGTTTTTTTAAAACATCGTTTTCGTCTCGGTTTGTTTACTTTCTATACCTACACAATGGGTCCTAAGAAACAACCTGTTATAGCTAGGATTAAAGTTTTTATCATCAAAACTTGGTTCTTGAAATTTTCAAGATCAAAATAATTCTAGATTACAGCAATTACAAGGATTAACACAAGTAGCTTGTTAAATATTCTTAACTTTCTACAAGAAAATTTGAGAAAGCATGCTATGTTTTAAGCAAAGGACTTCTTGAAACACTTGTCGCTCATTACAAACAATAAAAGAAAATTATTTCTGTATCATTATTTAAAAGGAAAAGAAAGGTTTGTGCAATTTTAGAGAAAATGCTTGCTCTCTTTTCTCGTATTTATCAATAGGTTTTTTATCTCGAAGCTAATGAGGGGAATCTCCTCAAGGTATAGGATAAAACTACAATAAATTTATCGGCAGTCTATGAATATTTAATCCTTTTACGTATGAAGACGTTGTCACTGAAGAACTCCTATTTCGACTTCGATTATGTCTTGAATGAGATCTCTCTTTTTGCCTACAGATGGAAGATTGGCATTACAACAAAAACGATATTTCATTTCACAAAGAAGGTTACTTAAAAGTATAACTGAGAATGTATTTTACTAAAAACTATATATTTATCTAATCCACCCGCCAAAGGTCACCGTCTTTTCACTCTCAATAACGGAGGTGTGTGATCTCATGACCTTCAATTAAGTCGCTGTTCTGCAACAAGAAATCGCTTCGCTCAAGCTTGCAGATGCAGAATTTTGCAAGAAATTAGCGAAAAATATAAGGAATGGAGCCAAAACCGAAGAATACACACTAAATATGCTCACACATCATTGGCTACACTATGAAGTATATTGATACGTACACTGTTTGTGTGGTTTGTTTGTTATTGTTCTCGGGACAAGCCGTTGTAAAAGGCCAGTTTGAACGCTCTACTGATCAAACTTGGAATAATTTAGAAAAAAATGATAAGACTAAAGAGTATAAAAGATGGGTCGATGTAGACGATGAAGAAAGCCTCGTACCACCGGATACGGCAAAATATTCGCAAAGCAACAAAGACCCAACGGACTTTACGAAAATAGTCGAAAATTTTAATAATGGCCTAACAGCAAAGCTGAACTCCTTGTCAACTGATGCTATCTCATCTGAGCAGCTTGGGGAACAAGATGATAGGTACATAAAAGCTGCAGCAGAACAGGCGAACGGTCACTTCGATGGAGCGCATATTATCGCAAGTAAGGTGGGCGATCTAGATAAATACGCACACGAAATCGATCCAGATGTTAACAATCAGATCAAGGCCGCGTTAGCACAAGATGGTAGCAGCCCAGAAGCACTAAACGAAGTAAATATTGCACTTTCGCACGGACTACCCAGTCCTGAGGTCCTTGAAAGTACCAATCGCGCAATACAGACTGAAAACCATGAAGGAAATATCCAGCTGGAGCCACAACAAATCGTTACGCACCCTAAACCAATTCATAAATACGTTGGACAAATTATACACAAAGTCAAACCATCGGAGCATCGATATTTGCCAATGAAGCACATCTTTCTTAAACATGTGCCACAGATTTTGCAAAGGTTGCGAGTTAGGCCAGTGAGAGTACACAGGCCAAGGATCATTATTGTCAAAGAGCCACACGTACAACATCATCATGAGTACTGTAAGATTCTGTTTCTATTTACTAGTTCTTTGTTATGTTACAATTATCAACGATTCTCTTATGTAAACTAACCTTCTTGAGATTAACGCAAAAAGAACTGTGACATGAAACATGCTTCTTGGTTTGTTAAACAATACAACAGTTTTTCATCTCATCATCATCAACTCCTAAGCCGAGCCGGCCCTGGTTGCAACAATGGGATGATGGTCTTTGTTCATCCTTCCCGATCTCCAGCCATTCTTATGAAACTAGAACCCCCTCCTCCACTCGATTCTCCAATGTTTTCCATCCAATTTCCTGTGGTCTCCCCCATCCACGCCTTTCTTGCATTCCTCCTTCCATCACCGCACTAGCTCATCTCAATGTTAGACATATTTGATATCACTCATAGGTATAAGCATAAAGCCCTAATGACGTATAATTTGAGAAGTAGGACGGGAAGTCATGCGATGAAGTTAGAACTAATGACAATGTTTACGATTAGCTGATTGAGTTTCAGTGACATGCTGTTTGCTGACAGGGTCTTTAAATCAGAGTAGCGGTTTCATATTTTTTGCATTCTGTGCGAAATAGCATTCTCGATACATTTGCAAATGGTTCTTTTATTCTCTAGATGAAGAGCCAGAGTCTCCGCCCCCGGAGACATCTGTTTGTTCAATAAATCCATGCAGAAATGGCGGAATATGTAATAATGTATTGGGAGATGTACACTGTGTCTGCGCAGAAGGATTCAAGGGGGACAGATGCGAAGGTAAGGCGAAGTTATTTAAAGGCTCTCATTCTACGCGTCTATCATTATAATCCATTGAATTGCAAAGTAAATGGTATTGGATCCGCTTCAAGGTAATGCGAAGTATTTAGCAAGAAACCAGTCTGTTTGATGCTCTTGGTTCTATGTGCCTTTTTCATGGAGGGTAAAGAGCAAATTTTTTGAATTTTTGCAAAAGTTGTTATTGATACAAGTAAAAACAAGAATTGAATGTGGCGTTTAAAAACCCGTTGTCTCTTTGCTGGCAGGTTTGTTGTAGCCTTTTCGTTGAATTGTGCTTGTTTTCATTCCATATACATTGTACCTATTTGTACACATTGCGAGAAATATTTTTCTTTTAGTGCAAAACACTTGTCATCCAAACCCGTGTAAGAATAGCGGAGCATGTTCGGAATCTGAGCAAGGCTTTGTTTGCACTTGTGTCACGCCGTACATGGGACCCACTTGTGAAGGTATGTTTATCTTGATTTTTATTTTCTAATTGATGTAGCACTAGTACCAAAAAGCAACTACCAGTGGCGTCACGTGACCATTCTCGCTGGGGGGTGTAAGAGATGCAAAACCATATTTTACCGACAGAAATTCTATTGCTACATTAATATTTTGTTATAAATTTAATTCTACCGACGAGTTTTCTGAAAGGGTGTACACCCCCTGTTCCGGTAACTCCCAGGTGAAAAAAGAGCCAAAACACGTGATAAAATGTTATTTTAGGCCCTGTCAACACTATATCGCATTAATTCCTTATCGAGTATGTAACAGCTGTTGGAGATGGAATTTTTTTTAAAAAATTCCCTTTTTCTTTTTACATTTGTACTAATTGCCGTTGATCAACTTTATCATCTTTTGTTTAACATCAATATCTGATATTGTCTTTGTTTTGCAGCAATGAGTCATTGCCATCCAAACCCATGCCGCAACTCTGGCACGTGTTACGAGAAACAGAATGGCTTCTCTTGTAATTGTGCTTATGGCTTCAAGGGAGCCACGTGCACAGGTAGGGGTAGAAACTTTTCTTTATATAATTATATTAAATATTAGATAGATAATTATAAGAAACTTTTCAGGATGAGTGCTAGCATTGTTTCAATTATGCCAAAACTGTAGATTGATACGTATGCACTGCAAACATCAAGAGGGTTCTACTAAACAAGATGCTGAATAATCTTTTACATAAATTACAGATCTATTATCGAAATGAAAGAGTAACTTAAGTCACAGCATAAATGAAGCAAAAATTGTTTAATAGAAAGATTAACAAAAAAGTATTCTTGCGATTTCATTTGTGACAATCTTCTAAACTGTCTTTTGCTCGTCGCCAGTTGCATCATTCTGTCATCCAAACAACCCGTGTATGAACGATGGAGTTTGTTCGGAAGATGATGCTAGCTACAAATGCTCTTGCGGCAAAGGGTACATTGGCCCAAATTGTGAAGGTAAGCTAGTATACAACAGAAAACTCTTTTGCTTCAACCTTTTTTGATACAGAATTTTGATCAAATGCACTTAGTCAACACAGACCACCGGCTAGCCTTTGTTGATGTGCTTTGAACTTTTTAAAGATAGTTTGTGTCATAAGAGATACTTCTGAATTATTCTCTCTATATCTCTAAGAATATGAGCCAGTATTTCAAACTTTCTTTGATTGCCTGTCACCTAAAAGCTGCTTGATAATTGCTGTGACTTAAATTTCTTTACAGTTAAGAAATATTCCTGTTCAGTTGACACATGTCAAAATGGAGGAACATGTATGGAAGAGGGAGTGAATGTCATATGTAGATGTTTGGACGACTACAGGGGCAAATTTTGTGAAGGTAATTTATGCTACCTAAGCAAACTGTTTATATCGCTTGTATCTGTATCTGTTTATGTACACATTGGCGGCACCAAGAGGAGGTAGGGGGGTAATTACCCTCTCCCCCCACTTTTATCAAAACATGGTCTACGTATTTCTTTAACGGAATAAAAAGCGCTAGGTAGGGGTAGTTCATGCTTCCTAAGGAAAGTTACCTGGTACAAAACACTTAAACGAAGCAAAAGGGGTGTGGTCTTCATAGTTACGCCCATTACCCTCCAACTCTGCAGTAGCTGGCGCCACCACTGTCTGCACAGTGCCTGATTTATTCAATTCTCTACGGAATAGGTCGTGGTTTGAAACAATCTGTTTGCTCTTTTGGTAATTATCTGTTTGATCAAAGTGTCTTTTGGTAATCTTTTGTGTAGAAACTTCTTCAAGTTTTAAAAAATCTAGACTTTGGCCATGATGGGACAATCATATCGAAGAAAATGAAAAACAAGTCAAAGTCACAAAATGTCGATACCAAATAGGAATTCAGGCCGAGTATTTTTAGGCCATATTTTGACAACACATTTATTTTTATCAATTTTATTTGAGAACACTAAAGAAGGTCACTTAACGCTTTTCGTTGAGTTGTTCTTAAGGCATTCCTCAATTTTATGATATTTTCTAAGTTTGAATACGAGACAGCACCATTTCACGTTTCATGATTATTCAAAGCTTGTTCCAATATTTCATCGGTTATCAAGATACAAACCCATCTGAAATCAAAATATCATTTCTTCTTCAGAGCGAATCTTCAAGCCGTGCACATTCACAACCTGTCTATTCGGTGGAACATGCATTGAAATTTCCTCATATGATTTCAAATGTATTTGCCCGAAGGATCGCACAGGAAAGAGATGCACTAGTAAGTTGATTAGTTAAAGGTAATAGCAATGTTGGCCCAAAGCCTTTAGGACTATCGAGTATCAGACCACAACAGGCATCAATTGTGGATATCCGTCTACTCCCTGAGATATATTCAAAGCTGTCTGATGATCGCAAAGCATGATAAAAGATTAGGAACTTCGAACCGTCCTGTTCTATACAACAAAAGCGTGCACTACCGGGTAGAAATAAGTAAATTCAAAAGTAGATTCTCAGTTTCTTATTGGCTCTGAAACCAATTTCTCCCAAAAAAACGGCGTTATTCATAGCATTTAACAAGTTATAGCACTCCTGGCAGGCTCCATTTTTACCAGACACCCTAAGGATAGTTCTTCTTCAGTCCCAACTTTCAATTGACTTGGGATGGAGGCAGCCTATTGGGATAATAAAATGAGCCTGTAATAAGTTGTAGTATGCAACATAATATGCAAAACGTACAAAAATTTTTTAACTTGGCTATCAATTACTTGGAGATTACACGGAATAAAAGAGTCATTGTGCTACATCAAGAATTTATTTTCCGTACAATCCAGTTAATAGCGAGAGAATCCGACAGAAACTACTACCGTAGAAGCGTGATGGCTGCATTATATCATCATATTGTCGGATTATAATTAATCTTGGGGTTGCCTTAAGATTGCAAGCATTTAGAAAAACTTCAAAGAATAAACTTTTTCTGTTGCCACTCTTTTGTATATCATAACTCGACACTTCAAGCATAAGTGGGTGTAAATCTCCAGGAACTTGTCTTGAGAAATAACGTAAAATTACATCTATAACAACATTTAATTGCTACTGCTATTATTGTTTTGATTTTTTTTAGAAATTATGTTGTGTATAAAGTTTTACATCATCTGCCTTTTGGAACTTTAAATGCGTCAACGTTCATCTTTTGCGTTTCAGTACCACTGAAAAACCCATGTGATGACTGCCATGCTAACGCAGTTTGCATAAATCATCGATGTTTTTGTAAGGCAGGATACGTTGGGAATGGCTATTTCTGCGAAAGAAGTAAGCTATCTTCACTCAATATTTGCTATTAGTAGAAATTGTGTGAGGGGACCGGATGGAAAACAAATAATTTAACAAAAGTTTCTAGAGCTAAATGCAGTGAGGAGTTGCTCTTTTGTTAAGCAGGAACATCTAATCTGGGATAATCACAATCACTTCTCTACATTTAAAGCCATTGGCAATTTTGCTTCAAAATGTCACTTTTTGAAAAGGCATTCAGCTTTCAGCTTACTTCCTTTTGCTCGTCAGTTTCTTCTTTCCTCTTTATCTTGACTGGTTATGAATGTAAAAAATAGTTAAAAAAGGAAGATAGCATATATGTCTACTACTAAGGTCTGGTTACTGTAACAAACAACAGTAACAAATTCCTGGACCTCTAAGTGGACCATTATGGATATAAGGTCAGCTAAAGATTTAAATGCTATCCCTGCTACTGAAATTAGGGATGCTTATCATTTGCTTTCAATGTAAAGTATTGTTTTATATTTTTTTTTTAATTTTTTAAATTGTAAATACTTTTAGTGTGGCGAATTATATAATACATAGTTAAACATAAGTATGATATTGTGGACAGTTTGCCTATATATCAAAAACATTGATTTTGAATAAATCTTTTTGTGGCGCAAAATTTTAAATTGGCTTGGTTTAGATCTTGAATTCCAAAAAAATGAAAACTACACAAGCAATAAAACATAGCCCTTATTGTATGAAGAATATATTATCGATTGTAATGTTTTAAAATCTTTGTTAGTTAGATTACTATAAGCTGGTATAAATGTTTTGTTTTGCGCTATCATTCAAATGAAAGTAAATGTCATTTTCGTTAGACTAAGGGCCATTCCGACTTACATTCTTTTAAGCTAAAAACAATTTGACTCTGAGTTCAGCTCACAATGTTTAGTATTTTAGCTACTACTTTCCATATTGCATCCAAGATACAGAAATATGAATGTTTGAAGAATAAACGTGGAATAGTGAAATATACAAAGATGAATTTTGTATCTTAGGCCCAAGTCGTTGTCATCCTAATCCTTGTGAAAATGGTGGTAAATGTGTAGACAGATTTGATTATCTCGGCACGGACGACTCACCATCGACAGGACCAACAAAACATTCGGAAGACGATGGCAATTTCTACTTTCAGCTTCCGCGAAACTCTGGCTTGGATGTTGTCACACCAGTGGATCCAAAATTGTTAAATGAAAACGGAGATACAGGTGGACCGGTGATGGAGAGTGCCGAATCTGTTGTAACTTCGGCTAACAGACGTACATTGCAGAAACGAGGCAAGATGCCTGGCAGACATTCTCAGATTCTTATTGCCAAGAAAAGTGCCATTCCTACTCAAAATAGACCAAAAGCTACTCACAACGGTAAAGTCAAAAAGGGGCATGTGGCATTTAGAAAAAGGTATTCGGATAGCACATGGAGATACGGAAAACAAACAAATTTGAAGAACGAAACTCTTAGCAAAAGAAGTTATATAGTAACAAGAAAGCTTCCTCCGGATGTTGACCAAACTCAGCTTGAGATAGATGGGTTTTATTGCATTTGTCCGGAACACTACAAGGGAAGGAAATGCGAGGGTAAGTCAGAATGAAATTTCTTCTTGCTGATAGTGTTGCCTCACAATATAGCTGCTGCAATCAGGGGTGTAGTGCTAGGGGGGCCCAGGGGCTGATCCCCCTTTGTTAATGCCAAAAATTGACAAATTTCTACTTTTGCTATTGTTTTTCGCAACATTTTGTGCAAGAGCCCGCCTTGTTATTTTGATACCTTTACGCCACTAGCTGCAATCCTACATCCGGAACTGGGTAGAACGGGATGAAGGATAACTCCTTGAACTGCTGAATGCACCAAAAAAGTCAGCTTTTCTAACTTTCCAGTTTCGATTACAGTGCTTGTACTCTGGCAAGTATTGCGAAAGATTCAGCATGCACCAGTTAAATAATTTTGGTGACAATATTAAAAAAATTTTCTGATGTTACATTTTCTGATAAATTTAAGAAATAGCAAAAAAGCTGAGTAAAATACTTTTGTGCTTGGGTCTGCCATAGAAACTTTTCTATGCCACTTATTTTTGCCACGTTCTTTCTTTTACAGAGGTTAACGCCTGTCAGCCAAATCCTTGCAAAAATGGAGGCCAATGTGTTGATGTTAATGGTGTCCCAACATGCACCTGCCCATATCCTTACACAGGGACTTTTTGTGAATGTAAGTGTGAATTATTAACTGGCTTCCCAACTAACTGGATTGAATAGACTGATATAAAACGTATTGCTGTTATGCAATATGGAATAATATATGGATGTGTTTTCATGCAATAGTATACTCATTTGTTGATTGAGATCAACTTCGATAAGATTAGTGATGAAATGAGATCATCAAGAAAGGATAACCTATAAAATAATCGCACACTTTGGGATGTAGAATAAAACTGTCTCAAACTGCTACTAATGGGATTAGTTGCCTAATAATCGCACAAGGAAAAGAAAGTAAGGCGATAATACTTTATTTTCTCAATGATCACAAAACATATCCATAGATTTGATCTGTTATCTGTTGTAAAAGAAAAGACGAATATTGCTTATTGCTCTGCGTTGTCACTTTTCTGTTAACTCTAGATGTTAAAATCTTTGACATAATCACTCCCTATTCATATTTCTGACAAAAATTATCAATTATCTTAATGAGAAATCTACGATAGGATAGGAGCTTGTTGTTAAAAGCATAATGCTTCTTTGCACTTGTTACTATTTATCATTTTTGTTTGCGTGTGAAGTCCAATTGTAGACTTAACTTCTGTTAAGTCTAGTTTCTCAATGTACGAAAAATTTTGACGCGTAAATAAATCCGCAGGTAACTGTCAGATTACATTTAAAAAAATCTCTTATCAATATAAATTTTAAATCAAGTGTTAGGTTTTTGTTGATTAAAAATGAGTTTTAGATAAAGTGTTAAATGTTTGGATTCGAAATATATTTTAATATAGCTTTTGTGTTTGTACTAGCAACCAACAGTTGTGAACCAAATCCGTGCCAAAATGGTGGAACATGTACAGATAATGATGGGACACCTGTATGCCTGTGTCCGAAGCAATACACTGGTGATAAATGCGAAGGTTTGTCTTTAAAACGTTTATTACCTTGTTTTATGTACGTATATTTATTGAACGTGATACCTATTTATAGATTAATGTACAGTAAGTAATAGATAGAGATCTGCTTTCAATATGTTTGAACTTCTTGAAGGAAGAAAGCGAGGAAAACAAACAGAAAGAAGAAACATACAAAAAGATGAAATAAAAACTTTTTTAGTTTTCAACGAAGCATGTAAATACAATAATGTAAATACGCTGATATAACAAAATGATTATAGGTAAAAGCCTATTTCATTTAAGCACCAATCTATTTGGACTTTACCGACCACTGGCAATTCAGATGAATGTAACAATAAATACGTTTTTCAGGAATATAGTCTCATGTTTGAGGACTAGCATGCATTGGGTTTAACGTACCAACAATATTTTCTTATCCATTATTATCAACGGAATTATATAAAATTCCATCGGTTATTACAGATGATAGCGATGTCATAGTTGGTATTAACAACTTTGTTACTATTTTGCATAAATATTGACAAAAATATTTTTATATTGGTTATACATGCTATGAAAAACGAGAACTGTGTCTTACCTGATCCTTTTTCTTTCACAGTTGACAAGTGCTTGAAATGCTCAAAGGATGCTGATTGCGTCAACGGTGCCTGTATTTGTAAGCCTGGCTTTTCTGGAGATGGCATCACTTGTACTCCGACTACCAATCCTGGGGGTGAGTTAGCAGCTATTTTATGCTGGCAGTCCCAGAAGATTTGATGTTTACGTTCTCGTTTTTAACCATATCAAATTTCTGCGTCTTTTTATTGAATCAAGACAGGAAAACATATCAGAGGTAACTTGATAGAAGCTTAAGAATGGATCATTGAAAACGGCGTGGTGACAGTGTTGCAAAGCTATTTCAGCAATATTTTTGAGAGAAAAGCCTCCAAGACTCCTCTAACACTGCTGCCTACATACCTTTTTATATGTCACTTTAGGATCTTGGCTCTTAGCTCTTAAAAGCAAGGCAATGCAACAAAAACAGTTTCGTATAAGAATTCCGAGACTGTAAGGGCTATGGAGACCAGTAGCTATCCTCTCAAGCTGATTGAAGGATATAAAGCTGATTGAAAGATAATATTTTGATTGAAAATTTCCGTTGCCTTTTGCTAGATAGTTGATAATACTGGGCATCAATCTGATAAAAAATATTCTGAGATAGTCTATAACCTTCCCTTAAACTTTCATTTTCAGCCCCACCCCTAATTTGTTTCCACTTGCCACGGTCAGTTACAGGGTGTAACTTCTACCCTTTTCATAAATTTTTAAATTCAATAAACTCAAATAAATAATAATTTTTCAAGAAACACTAATTTAGTCAAAGTCAATTTTAATCAAGCATTAAATTGAAAGCTGAAATTTTGTTTCTGTACCAACTTGCTAATAAAACAATTTTTTAACCAGAATCAAACGGATGTACATCAAACCCTTGTCAAAATGGCGGCACATGTAAACAGACAGACACAAATGGTGGATATAAATGTAACTGTATTATCCCTTTTATTGGGAAAGATTGTGAGAGAAGAGGTGGTGGAGAAGAGCTTACAACTACCCCATTACCAAAAACAACCCCTTCAAAAGGTAGGTGAATTCGTAAATTCGTGTCCCGACTAACGTTTAATTTTACAGAAACGTTATAAGATCCATTGCCTTATAATTTAAAACTATTTTTACATTTTAGAAATTCAATAAAGGTTCGAAATTATCTCTATCAATATAAGCTTTTCGGTTATAGTATTATTCAGGGAGATATTTTTTGTTTTTTATTTGAAAATATTGATGCCTAGCTTCCTTAAACATTAACTAAAAACTCTAAACATCAAATATGAGGGGAAAATAATTTCCATCATGGAAGCAAGTTTACTATTGTTTATATTTTACCCTATGGTATTGTGTTGTGCTACATTCTTGCAAAATTGCAATCACAACATTTCATTTACAATCACTAAAAACAACAATAAAAAATAAGAATGTTATATTTCTAATGCAATACCGCATAGCTATTTTAACGCTCTCATAGATAAATTGGCTACAGAAGCGCAGCATTCAGAAAGATAATCTGGCTGAAGTGTTTTGCTAATAACTTTCAATGCTTGCAAAAAAGTGAAATGCACTGCGATGTTTAGCTCAGCTTTAGAATGGAAATGATGTTGGAAGGAAATGTTAAACAGCATCAAAACTGTACCATAGTTCCAAGTAGATCAACAATTAGCTTGGTAACTTTACTCAAGTAAATACAACATACGAAGCTTATCAATGAATGGTCAGATTTAGCTTGGGTTAGTTGTTTTAGTGTAAACAGGATTTTAGGCTCTTATAGAGGCAATGAGAATTGAAGCTGTAACGTTTGCTTTTATACCTAGATATCCTTTGTCATCCTAACCCGTGCTTGAATGATGGCAAATGCGAAATAGTTGGTGAATCATTTACCTGCAAATGCAATGTACAATACAAGGGCCCTCGATGTGAAAGTATGTATCATATATTATGTAACTAAATTAATATATTATAAATTTCGTTGCATTAAATAAGAGCTGTTTAATTAAGAAAGATAGTTTTGCAAGCTAATTTTAATCTTATAAACGTTATACTGTGCCTGAATATTACTTTATGAATTGTAAAGATCATTATTGAGTATGTTGATGATCTGCAACTAAACGAAGAAATGATTAAGTCTGTGTACAGACTCTACTGTTTTAACTCGGCTCCTGTTTCATTTTATCTTCATTTCTGTTGAGTTGAATTAAAAAAAACAACGTATTTTTGAGAATCTGCACGCAAGCTAAAATGGTTAAGCACTGAAGAAAATATTGTCATAGTGATTTAAGCCTGAGCAATGTCTTTGGTATGCATCAGGGGTGTATCTTGATATTCATTTTATTCATACTTTACATAGCTGATAAATGTATTGAGTGCGATATCCATGCAAGGTGCATAGAAGGCGTTTGTAAATGCAATCGAGGCTACAGTGGTGATGGATTCAACTGTGAACCAGGTACCATATACTTGTTGATATATAAACATTCTAAAATGGTTTCACAGAGACTTAAGCAATGTTTCAGACATGAATCTGATTTAAAATAAGGTCACTTATTCATAGAATACTTGATCGAAATGACTGTGCTTCTTTCCTAAACGCAAATCTCTAATTAGTGTATTTGTATTCCCGTCGAACATCGTTTATGCTTTCGCAAACATTTATATTTATTTTATATAAAGATTAAAATCTTAGCGTTATTCCACCCTTTTTAACTGCTCATATCCTTTATATAGAATGATTATAATGAAAGCTGTAATCAACGGATTGGTAAATGCGTTTTAGTGTATTTGAATAACTGAACACACGGGCTGACGACGTGGCACACATGTAGTGTATTTCGTTTAAATTCTTGAACTCAGTTGCAATGCCTTTAAGTTTATACCTGCTTCTTTTTGTGCATCTTGAAATATCGTAGTTATTTTGTCAATCGTCTTTCCTCTCTAATACACAGTCTGCGAGAATGGCTGTCCCAAGCATGCAAAATGCCAAGAAGGAGAATGCACCTGTAATAAAGGCTACTATATGGAAGAAAACATATGCATACGTAAGCAAATTCTTCAGTTATCATCAGAATGCATCTTTTCCCATTCGATATTTCCCATTCGTTATCTTGTATATAATTTCAGTCTTTGAAAAACTTCACCTTCAACTGAAAGTCTCTTCTAGAAGCAATTGTCAAAAAATGAGCAAGGATAAGGATATATGTAATTTTTGGTTTTCTATTTAGTGAATACGAGTGTTCTTATCTATAATAACTTATAATAACATAATAACTTACTCATTTTATCTTTGCATCGGACACACTTAGAATATTCATGTTGCAGTTCTCAAGATAAAAGCTAATTACATTCCAAAATCGGTGTTTAACTGATTAGAAACTTCTGTTTCATTCTATCTTTTATAATTAGATAATCTTTTTAACTTTACAGATCCACATCCCGTCGCACCACCACCACCACCGCCGCCGCCGCCATCACCCCCACAAGTCATAATGATGCACCACCCACCACCTCCACCGCCGCCACCTCCTCCTCCCCCACCACCTCCACCGCCGCCACCTCCTCCTCCTCCTCCACCACCGCCGCCGCCACCACCCCCTCCACCACCAGCACCTGCTCCTGCATCACCGCCGTTTGTGTTCTATAATCCACCCTCACCACCCCCAGCTCCAATCCCAGTGCCTGCTCCTGCCCCAGTTATGGCTGTGGAGCAAGGTATGGAAGTGATTCCTGGCCAGCCAGCTACACCATCTCATGCAGGTAATTACCTGTTTTCTTAATTTGTTCCTTAATCGTTTGATTATCGATATTTGCTCATTATATTTATGCCAATTTTCTATATTTGTCGTAAATAGCATTTGTCATGGTAATTCTTCTACGATGCGATCTTTTATAAACTGAACTTTAAGCAATAAAATTTTACCTTTCAGCCCCGCCACTACCCGGACCAGCACCATCTCCATATGCAGGTGAAAAGTCATTCCCTCGTTTATTTGGCCAAATATTTCGTTGCATAACATTTTAAATAAGTGTAATATTAAAAAAACAATATCAATACAAAATAAAAAAATTTTGATTGATTTGTAAATTTTAGTTTTGTTTTGTTTGCAGTTTGGTATCGTTTTTGAAACTGCTTAGAAATATAAAAATCAGCTCTGCTTTTTAATATTATTAACTTTATAGTTTCTTGGGGGTAAATCAATACACAAATAACAAGCAAGGATATTTGTATATTGTTTTACGTAGAATTTTCTTTTTTTGTAGAATCATTCCATTTAAAGGGATTGTAAAATAAAAAGCAGCAATTCTCGGCAAAATTCTAAATTTTAAAACTTTTGTAACCGGGAGTGGGGGCAACTATTCCTCTTGGAGTTAGGGGCTACTATTATCTCCGGCCAAATATGAACAAAGAATTTTAGAAAACCGCATTTTGTAGCATAGCGGACAAATCTTGATTGGGTGTTAGCGAGATCCCCTTCTTAAGAATCTTCCAGGAAATCCACTACTCACGTTGCTAGAAATTGTTATCGTAAGCTTTTCGTTTCTATTCATTTTGCAGAGGATATAATAATATCGGTCTATCAAAGTCTTGGATGCTGGGCTGACGCTCCTGACTGGTGGAATCCAGAGCACCGGGTCATCCCCTCTATGGAAGGAACTGACAACCGACTAATGGATGAATATAGACTCAGAAAGGATCCCATCGGTAAAGTTTCTTGCAACACTTTTTTATCAATGGACTTTATCCCATGCGGCATTGCAAAAGTATAATGTGACATACACTATCTTACACTCAATAGAATATTCATAAACAATAGTTCTGATTGCTCTCAAATGCCTATTTCTTGCCCAATTAAGTGTCTATATCATAGATATTAGAAAAAGGAACTCCCTGCAAGTGAATATGAAATTTGTTTTATGCTATTTTGAGCTTCGTTACCAGTAGCTTCGTTACCAATAGCTATTTATATAGCTCTTCGGTATTTCTGAAACCTTTCAGAAACTCTTAGTGCTAAAATCAACAAATAATTACATTTTTTTAGTAATCCTGCGTTCAATATCTTATAAAGCAAAAACATTCCTAGACTTGAATTAAGGACAATGATGTTAAATAGTAAAAGCACTACCAACAAAATAGTTTTTATTGACTTTGTAACTCATGTTGGAGTTTAGGCCATAAAAACGATGAGGAATGTTTGCTTGTTCGCTAAGAGTGCTGATTTCTTTCATAACAGGAAAGTGTGCAGACGTAACGAAAGAACGTGGTTTTAAAGTATTCGCAGTTCAGAATGGAGGACATTGCCTTAGTGGTCCAAAGGCAGACCACGAGTATACAAAACTTGGTCCCTCGGATAAATGCAAAAATGGGATTGGAGGACCAACAGCAAATGATGTCTATAGACTGTAGTCACGTGGCTATTTGATAAGCCATCACATATGTGATTGCGATCAAGCAATCATGTTAAATCATCCAAATGATTAAACACATTATGTCAGTTTTAGGACAAGGAAGGTATAATGATCAATGAAGCTGATTGACTGGTTTTGTTGTTTATGTTGGTTGTTGATTCGTATGATCATGTCCTTCCTGGTTGCAATACCTTTTTAAAGTTGCTGCATCTCTCCTTTTAGAAGGCATTGTAAATGCAAATAGTTTTGTACTAGCAAGCTTTTCACTGTGGCAAGCTTTAGATGGTCAAGTCTAGAAAGGGCTTCAAATGAAAACATTTCTCTGTTCAGAGAGATATTGGGAATGTAGAGACAATCTAGTTTCTTTTTAGGAGCGAATCATATTGTTTTGGATGTAATTTTAGTTAAATTTTGTGTTGAGTATTAACGACAAAATTTTATTTGTCTCTCTTCATTTTCAGAATTTTTTTATCTTCTTAAATGGTCTTGAAGAATTTAGCTTTTTAATCAATAGATCAGATTCTAGTTATACTGTAAGCTTCATTTAGTTGTTTAAACCATAATGCAGATTACTTTCTTCCCGAAAGTTTTGAAACCCTTACAGCTGTATAATTGTCCTTTTCCTTTGTCAAACGAATAGCTGATATATTTATATCTAGAATTAAAAGCGAATTATATGTTGATCTGCTTTGGTTAAGCTTAGTAATGTAAATATGCCAAGAGGAAGAATTGATGCTATTAAGAGGTAGTTTGTTTTTGTTACAGTAATTCATCTTCCTGTATCTTAATTATATATTATCTTTAATGAAAAAGGAATTACTTTCCTGAATTTTTCTAGTATCCAAATGAATAATATTGTGAAAACTAGCTCAGAAAGTCAAGCAAGGAACCTTTAAAAAGGTAATGATTATTCAAGGATTATTCAAGACGACATAGGAATCAAGCAAATAAGTTAGATACCTAATCTCCTCTACAGAGGCTATTGTAAAGGAAGACGGGGAGGGAAAAAGGGAATATGGGAACGACGGAAGAAAAGTAAAAGTGCACCAATAAAGTTAGATACTACCCGGGTTTTCTTTCTTTTTCCAGTAAACAGGTTACCAAGGGTTTTTACGAGCTTTGTCCACAAACCACTTCGCTTTGTTGTGATTTCTGGGCATCCAACTTGTGTAATTATCGTGTCTCATTTATGACTAATTTTCAAACTATATCTCATTTATAAAGAATTATAATTTTCATTTATAAGATCTTTTTCAGTAATGTCCATCACGTAAACATAAGAAGTCTTTTGAGAAAAAGGGTCAGGCGTAAAAATTTCCTAATACCAAACCAAACTGCTTAATTACGCAATCAGCATTTCCTTTAAAAATATACCGAAGGATAAACAGCCTTATACAAACAAAGCCTCCAAGTTCTATGTTCGCAACGTAGCGTCCAAGATGAAGCGGTTTTTCGTGAACTTTTAGCCATAAACTAGACCATCCGCAAGAATCCTTCAGAATTAGTTTTAAGTCGCCAAATTCCTCATCAATTGAAATCATCCAGATATCACCATTATCCTCATAGGCTGAGATCAGTTTTTCTGACATCATAATGAGTACAATCGATTGCTATGAGATCTGATTCAATGGTAGGGCAGTAAGTCCCGTGGTAGAGCAGAGGTTTTACATAAAAATTTCGATTTTTATTCGCTAGTTAGATTAAAACGAAATTTTGTTCTATTTCATAAGTCATACAAGATTTGGTCAAATAAGAAAACATGTTTAGGCCTTATTTGGATGAAAATTGCCCTGTTACAATTTTGATACGTCACCAAAAATGGAAATTGGCTTTTTATAGGGCATTGTAGTTAAGGCCTATTGTAAGTCGCGCCGCACCGCGCTGTACCAGAAAAGATTTGTTTCGACAACGGTTCAAAGACTCGTCTCTGTTTTAAAAGGCAAATTTATAGTCGCGCCGCGCAAACCAAATCATAGTTGTGCATTAAACTTTCATTGATAATCAGCTATAAAATGGTGGAAGAGCGAAGTAAAATGAGCAAATCTTGTGAAAGAAATGTTTGCCGTAAGGCAAAAAAGTTTTCTACCTGCAATATTCTGAGGATTACGGGAATGTCAGATGAAAGGTTTAGATATTTTTTAAGATGTTTGCTTTCTTCGAAGTTCTATGAAAATTGAAACTATTGCTTTTTGAATAATGTTCCTTTGCTAAGTAGATGGTTTAGATTGTTGTCGACAGGTAGCGAGCGAATTTTCCATTGAAACCTTAAAAGCCATCACTTTCCTCTTCTGCCGCATCAATTTGCTGCCAAAGAGGGAAAGACTACTAAAATATTTTTTTTACATGATTATATTTTCAGGATGATGCAAGTTCAAACAGAAAAATTTTTCACAACGAACTCTCGCAGAAACTGTCCCTGAAATTTGTGATGGCTAAGCACATTGTCTCTGAGTATAATCAAAAGTAGGTTAAAATCCATTTGTTTGCAATTTATCCTATCAGGCACAATTTACATTTCATCTATGTTCTCTTGTTACAATTGTAAACTTTCCAAAAAACCCTCTTGAAGTTCAAAGTTTGTAGCAATAGTTCTCAGCAGATGTTCAAATATCAAAGCTTTGTACATACACGATTGCAAGGCAGAGTTTGAACAGTGTCGCTTGAATGATTATGAGCTTCAAAAATTGGTGAATTTTTTGAGTGCCCTTAAAAGCATTCGAAATAACTATATATGCAGCTGAGCCTATGTAACTAGCTATTTGATACCCCTATTCATTGGCAACTGTATAGTAAAGGTATAAAAGAAAACACTTCGATTTCTAAGAGCATTCGACTACTCTTATTGGTATCGAGACGATCATATTCAAGGTGAGATACTATTTTGTTATCTGTTCGACCAATGGCTGTTCTCATTGCTAGATTTCTAGAAATTAATTACAATAACATTTTAGATTGTTTAATTTGAAGTGTCAATTTTATATTTTAAGGATTCTAAACTATTACCAACGCTTATTCAAAATTTGTCTCAAGAACTAGAATACTAACGAAAATTTTAAATTATCTTCGAAGGGATCATTTTTAGGTTCGTATTTCTTATTATCCTTGAAGTCGAACACAATTTTTTGCTGGAACTGATTTTCTTACTCAAATTCAATAAGAGTTTTGGCAAATTCTTTTTAAGCCTGTTGGAAGACGTTGTACTAACACAGAAAAATGTTTAGAATAATAACCAAAGTAAGTTTTTATCCATTTTGCCCTGGAAGAAAACTATAATCATATTCTTTTTTTACAGATGCGTACACTCCTTTTCGTCCTTATTGGCCTCGTTGCCGTATATGCAGCACCAGCTGCTGAGCAGAATGATATGGAGGAGATGGTAGCAAAGCTTGATACAGAGGGATACTTGTCCCCTGTGGATGTTGATGATGAAGAAGAGGTTCACATGGCAAAGAGACTGGTCTCTGACGAGACCCTTGAACAATGTATGTATAAAATATGAAAATTGCTATAACAAACTAATGGGAGCTGTTGTCCTGATTAGTTTCCTATTGTCAGGGAAAAAATTACGCCCTTTTTATAGGAAACTTAGCTCGTGGTCATAACAATATCATTAAAAAAGCGTGTTCTTTTCATCACTTTTAAAGGTAATGTTGCTAAGCTAGGATAAAAAGTCAGACAAGTAAAGAAAAAAACTCGGAGAACATCAAGTGACTTTTCGTATAAATATTCGCTCAAACTTTGCAGAAATTTTTAAGTAGAATAGAAATCAGTAATAGCACATGTATGGCGTTCATTTCTAAGTAAACAAATAAATTCTTTAAAAAGATAAATTTTTGAAATATGGATTCTTTCTTATATTAAGGTACTTTCTTTTTCTAATTTTGTGGACAGCCTTTTGCTTTAGATCCAAAATAAAATTTCATTCACATCTCCCCGAGCCTTCCTCCATGCTGGAGAATCTTAAATATCTCAAAGTCCAGAAGGCAAACAAAAATAAAAATTTTGAGCAAATCAGGGCAATACGAGCAGATAAGGAGATTTAATCCATCGTAAACACTTTTTTCTTTTTCAGTACTTTTGGAGAAAATGGAATTCATCTTCAAGATTCTCGGACCTCTTGCACCCGCACAAGTTAAAACTGCCATTAGAAATATTGTCAACGAGAGAAAATCAGAGATCGTCCAAGCCCTTAAGCAGGGTGGAGCTGCTCTCTTCAACATTCTCGTCCAAATCTGGAGGAACGCATTGATGGGTGGTCTACTTGGATAAAAAGTTTAAAAAACTTTCAAAATGATAGTAGTTTTATTAAAATCTATTATTAATATTATTATGTATTTAATTAATTCTTAAAACTGAACTGCGAAAGTTTTCTGACCTATAATTCTTTGACGCATCAATGCGCAAAGTTATCGAATATCTTTATGTTTCAAGGAAATACAGTGCATACTTCAAGGAAAAATATATTCATCATAATCATAATAATCTATTATCACAATGAGCCTGAAACTCGGCTTTGGAACTTTGAGCTTTTTGCTCCAACGCCGAAGAGTATACAGATCTGACAAATACGGCATCGAGCATTTATTATTATCATTATTATAAATACTTTGATTTGAAGTTTGCTGTTCGAAATAGCTAAAAATAAAAGCTAATTAAGGCCAACTTTTTACAAAAGGTGTATACAAAGGAAATACATAATAATTACAAGAAGCCTTAACAATATATAAAAGTTTTGCAAATCCTACAGTTGCAATGTTTGCATTTTTGGTCAGAAAACCATGACAAACCGCTAAGCAGTAATTGATCTGCGGCACATGTCGTAAAATTTATGTTTCAAAAAATACTACATAGCTCAAAACATCAGAAACTCAGGAGAGATTTATCTCTAATCAGGAGGCCAAGATAATCTGGTGAGCCAAGAGATTTTAGCTGATAGATGGAAATAATTTTTTATTGAAACAAGCTCTCATTGATACGAAACGCTGTAAATTTGAAATAAAAGTTTCTATATCTAGGTTACTTGTTACCTTTATTGCTGAATTATGCAGTTTTGCAATTGCTTTGGAAACCAGTCACTGACTACATATTTGGGTTACACATTGTCAACCTTTGGAAAAGTCTAAGATACAACCCATAGAAAACACAATTTCATTCAAGAAGCTACCAGAGACGCTGGAAAAGTTTTGGGATAGGGGGCAAAGTGCCCAGAACAGTGGCAAATAAAAAAAATTGCTTAATTTTGCAACGGCAAGAGCAACCGTCCTACTGCACCGGCGTCCTTGGAAACTAACCGGATACGGGAATAACTCGCAGAATGCATAACTTGAAAATGGCTTTGAAAAAAGCAAACATTTAGTAAACTAAAGCTTTTCGTCTGACACGCTTCAGAGTTTAAAACGTCAGAACATAGACCGAAAATTCTACGCTAGGAAATATATATACCCAGTTGTGGATCGAAATAGGCCAATCAGAAACAGGAGCACATGACTGTTAAGGTTGACCAATCAGTGCCGCTTGCCTATTGCGAATGTTACCAATGGAGTCCTAAGGTGGAAACGAACTCCTTTTGTCTACACAGTAGCGGTTTTTTCGTGCTTATATAGATAGATTCCAAAAATGCTTGGTGGAACGACGATCGGGCTTTACCAATAATCCGAAACATGTCGCCATTATAGTTTTCTGCACATTTTTTGTTTTCCAGTAAATGCTGCTTGATAACAGAATCGTAGGTTTGAGTTGTAATTTTAGATTTGCAAGATCGAGGTGGCTGTTCTCTAAAAGATTGTTAGAATGCATAACGCTTATCATTGTGACAGAAGGTTCCAGGTACTTGTACCAATCATAATATAAACTAAACTAGTTTGGACAATATAATACAATACTAAAATAATATAATTTCGAAAAAGGCCTACATAATTTACAGCCTTGTCTAACAAGCAAGAGAAAACTGTTTGAAAATTGAAATATCGAACGAACCGGGTATTTCATGCAAAATTCCTATTGAAACTCCCCCCAATTTAGACATAATTTCGGAAAATCTAAGCATTTCAATCTATTATGACCCCCCCCCCCCCTTTTCAAGTTTTCTAAAAAAAATGCCAACCTCCCCTCCCCTCCTGTAGAACCCCCACAATTAGGGACTTTGTACTCTTGATTAGGTAAAAGTGTCGGCCTCTTTATCCAGTCGAGGCTCAGTGTTAAAAGTCCGCCACATTTGAAGCTGAAAAAGAAAAAGATCGATAACATATAGTGAGTGGATATGATATCTTTTTAATTTGATCATTTATTTACTTATCTTTAAATTGTGCTTTATTCCTCATTATTGCAAAGACTCGGGTCAATTATGCGTTCTGTTTTATTTGCAAAAAGATCCTGCTGACAAGTTTGATATGTCCTAGCCATAATTTATTTTAGGAGCTAATAATCAGGACAAGGATTCCCAACTTTGAACTGTACTTTCGACTAATGTAACCAATGTAAACTCAGTGTTAGCTCTAGATAGAGAATAAATATTTAAATTTACTTCACTTTGTTTTGTCATGCTTTTTCGTGCATTATGGTAAATTAATAAATTCATGTTTGTGCTGGTCCAACGAGCTATTAATGTGCAAACCTTTAAAAGATGCAGAAGGCTATTTCGGTGCTGGATATCATTCTTGAGGGTGAAATTTCCTGCAAATATTAGAAGTTCAGTGAAAGGATTTCATTTTTTTATTTTGGACATAAAGAGCTTTCATTTGACCAGCAGTATCTTACCAAACACATCAGTGGCGGAGCCATCAGGTTTGCAAGAATCTCAAGGACCAACTTTCTAAAATTTTGAGGGGGGGGGTATGTACGTTATCTAGATTGTCACATTTGAATGACATATCTTGGGAGACAAGAGTTGTACCCTCCAGGAGAAAATGTATCAATCAGGGAAAAAGGGGCATGGTCCAGAAGGGCATGATCCCTGACACACCTTTTGTCCCCTCCCCCATTTATCCCAGGCTGGAGCCGTCACTGCAACACATCACTTGTATGAGAGCTGGAAGGAAGGTGGAAATTTGTGTTGTTTCACTGAAAATTAAAAAATCTTTCTGTTAATAAGATTAGATTTTAAAATAGCAATTACATATTTTGTGCTACAATTCTTTCACAGAAGCTCTTTGTGAAAAAATTGAAATCAACTTTATATGGCTTATTTTTTCTTTGATTTAAATAATATTTTGCAAAACCACCTACAAACATTAGCTGAAAAGGCTCAAAAGCAAGCCCTTGTCATGAGGGTTATCAAAACATTTTTTTTTGAAACAAATGAATGATAAAATTCAGGAATTGTCTTATTTTCAACATGTGTTCTGAATTAATAAGAACATCTTGTGTAGAATATAAAGCAGCATATCATGTTTAAGATAACAAGTGTTGTTCTTGACTAAAACTAATATTTGACAAAAGGCTATTTTAAAAATAGCAAAAAATAAATATTTACAGAAAGTGTTTTCAAGTAGGTTTTTGTAATTAAGCAACTAACGTTTTTATCTTTTTCCTCTTCAATACGTTCCACAACCATGAAAAAATATTGAACTGTTTTCAATTTCAATGAACAGCTCCTACCCTTGCAATGTTTATTGTAGGAAACGTTTTACCTGAAAATAATAATATTTTGCCAAGGAAAGATTTGCATTGCTTGCATTGGCTTTTGATTGCTTTTGCATCTGCAGTCTGTTGACGAGATCAAAAGAAAAAGCTAAACAAATTTTCATTGATGTATTCCTTGAGAGTCTGTCTGAATTCTGATAGTAACAATGATACTAAAAAAGAGAACTCAGAGTAACCTCAACAAAAGATATACATCAGAAAAAATCATCAAATCATCATCAAAAAGATTTTTCTTTAATCTCATTATCTTGCTGTAACAGCTTAGAATTGTATTGTTCTAAAAGTCATGGAGCACTCTGCCTGTCCTACAAAAATCCATAGATGAGCCTTGGAATATTAGATGTTGACAAATTTCACACTAGAGTACTCCCCCAGTGCAGCTTACAATGAAGGAAAGAGTGTACTTTTTGAGACTGAAAACATATAGATCTATTATATATGAAGGTTGTCTTTGTCCTGCACAAAAATTTTGATTAAAGAAATGGCCAATTCCTCCTTCTCAATGGCCCTGCACTCTGCAAGGAAACACTTGTCAGTAATCTTTTGTGGCCATTCTTAAAATACATTCGATCACATGTTGTTCTTTTATTTAGGTTTGTCTTGAAATAGGCATTGGGGCCCTGATCCACTGTGAACAATGGTCTTTTGACAAATTTCTGTTGTTGTTGGTCTATTTTTCACATCTATTCCACTGGCAGTTTATTTTCATGGCTAATCCTACAGAAAACTTGCCACATCTATCTTGTCAGCACATTTCTTCCCTCCATGTCAAACGCTTTCCTAGTGTCTCTGTAGCCCTGCTTCTATTTAAAAATTCATTAGCACAAAACACACCTTCTTGATTGGCAAAGATACACATTGTGTTTTGAGAGAACGATTGGAAATAGTAATCATTATGTTTATGCTTTCATAATAAGTCTGAAGTTAATTGCCTAAACAAAGAATATCAAGTATCTGATTAGGCTGTTGGAGAGTGTTTTAAAGTATTCTAAAATGTACAAACTTGCATTCTTTTTTCAGTCAAACTCTATGGCCAGGTCCAGTTGCTTTAGACAAAGTGAGTCTGGCTGACACAGACAAATGCACGACTTGCAATGTTTCTGTTTACTCGTAGTATGACTGAACGGTTACACAAGTGATTAATTAGAATGGCTGTAATAAAAGCTTCTATGCTTTTTGATTGCTTTCAAAGGCAATCAGAGCCAACAAGCTGCATAAACACTCAGTTAATAATTAAATCAATCGCTTCATTGGACAAATCTGCAAATGCATTTGGACAAATTCTAACTTTTTTCTTCGACTAATATATTTTGCTTCGTTAATATGAAAAATAAGTATTGCTATTACCGTTATCCAAGTTACCGAATACTTGCTTTTATACCAATCCTTCGTCACCATGCTTAAACTATAAAATAACATCCAGCATAAAGCCTGCACCAGGATGCTTATGTACTGTGGAGGAGCCTTTGATCTCTGCCTGCTCAAACAAAATAGAGCAGGTAGGCGCATTCATGTGTACTCCGTGTCCCTGACAGAAATTACGCTCAACGAGTCCCATACCTCAATGTAGAGAGCATATATGTGCACCGAGGCGTATCGTATGACTCATGTAGAGCTAACTGCCGTGCAAGGGAATGATCGTTGGCAGCGTAGACATACCCTTGTTTTCCGTTTAAAATTTAAAAGCAACATATTTAAAGAGGATGAGGAGAATTACTTTTATCACAACATTGTCAATACGATGAAGCTTCGATATGTGCAGATTATCTGGCCTTGTCGCGATGTTCGTCTGGTTTTTATACATTATAGCTTGTCTTAGTTATGCAGTGAGCAGCAACCCAGGACTACCGACGCGAATAGTTGGCGATAAACACGATACTATCGATAATGTCGGTTCAGCTGTTTCTGCAAAGAAATCTAATATTGCAAATGAAAAGCGAAGCAAAAGGGCACCGTTGCCAAGCCCCAAACCAACACCTCAATTGCTTCTGCCATCAGATACTATTATCACAAAGAGACAGTTTATGCCCGTTCCGCCAGAAATTGCCGGAAGAGAGTTCTTGCCAAGGAGAGAGTTTGAGGGCGGTGCTTTGCTGCCAACTCCACGAATTATCCGACCTCTTGAGCTAGAACGTGGTCCACCGATAGAAAGGGGTCGTTTTTTACCGCCCCCAATTGACTTAGAAAGAAGACCGTTTTTCGGCCAAGGCCTAGTAGCACCACCATTTATTCCAGAATTTCGAAGAAGGCCAATGTTTCATGAGGGTCCACCAAGCTTAGTACCCATGAACCCTGATCTTCCAGCAAGACATATTTTTCTTGGGCCGCATAACCCACATTTTATGAATCCTGGTCATGCTTTAGAAGACACGGAGCGTTTTGGGTCTCTGGGTGACACACCACTCTTGCCTATGCCCCACAGGCATCGTTTTGAAGAAGGTTTCGTCGCTGCCCCACCCATGAGGGAAGGTTACCTTCCTTTACTTCAGCATCGTCTTCATCAAGCAGAAAGCCCTCGTTTGCACTTGCCCGAGCGCTTGCTGTCGGCTCCGCCTACACGCTTGCAAGAGGCCGTACGACTTCAACACGAGATAGCACAGTTACCCCATGCTATACAGGAGCACCCTCATCACATCTTAAAAGCTAACTATGCCCCTGCTAGCCTTTTATCAAATGCAGACTCTAATGAAGCTACTGATGACAATCCAGAAGCTAGCGAGGGCGACGACAACATCGAGAATATGATGAACGAGCTAAGCAAACACAAATCAGGCAAAGCATGGGTTACTGATGTTAATATTTACGACAAGAAGAGAAAAATGAACGATCTTGCCAGCTTTTTGGAGGACGAAAAAGAGGAAGATGATGATGATTTTGGTGAGTTTTTGTGCAAGTTATGAAGTTGTTTTTCAGTCAGCAAATGTGTTGCTAAGATAAAGTAGAGAAAAATAGGTTAACGTCACTTCTTTGTTGCTTGCTATGGCGATGCTTTTTGTTTTAAGATTTGGTAAGATCATTCGTTTGGAAGGCTACTACTTTGATGATGTCGCAGTGCATCATTGAAAAGTCGTATTTGCACCATGGCTTGCCGTAACGGTCTTTTAAAGCGCTGTGGGATTTTAGATCAAGGTTTATTTCACTTAACAGTTCGTCATCGCTGGAAGCATTACCTTTGCAGGTTGTTATAAAAGGCTTCAAGCTTGCTTTCTGCAATTATGTCACCAAATTTTCAATCCAATATTATAAACTTCGAAAAGTCTACTTGTTTCAGGTTCCAGTCTTAAAATCTCTTCTAAGATCAATTTTGCAGTTTACAAGAAATACTAAAATATTTCTTTTGATTTTAAGAATTGCTTATAAAGTCAAATGCTTTTTATTTTCAATCAATGTATGATTTACAATAGCCATATTATGTATTCATCCCGTTGATAAAACATTTGCCTATTTACGTTTTCTTTCAAGGGTCTTCTAGCCTCCAATGCCTAGTGTCTCAGATTTTTTAATCTAGTTATAGTAACCTGACTTTTGAATAATTCTTTTTAGACTTTCTGTGCAATATTTCAAATATTTTGCTGATTCCTTTGTAACATAGTTAGATAGTTCAAATTTTTATCACCGTTTTGAGAATCTTGAACTCAGCCCTGGGGCTCTGCCCTTGTTTTATTTTCCTGCACGCTTGGGCGCTCTGATAGCAAGCTCAATTACTTATCGTTAGAAAACTGGTCACATTCAACCTGCTGGACTATAATCAGCGGTTGCTTCTTCATGCTCACTGGGTCTTTAAAGGTTATCTTTGAAGATAATTCCAAGTGCAGATTTGATTACGCTTTGTTCGTAATTTTTTTACTAGTTTGGCCCATAATGTCAAGAATCTTCGCGCATTATGACTTCATTATTCGCCTCATCTACAAGATGATAACCTTACATCGAAATTATAAACTTTATATTTGGGTGCACACAAATAAGATAAGATATACAATCACACTTCAAATTTCGTGTCATTTTATCGCACATTTAAAAGCTTTTGTTGCAAAGATGATTCCATTATTTTCTTCATAAGATTTGCCTTACAATTATGCCAATGGTTACTGTAGCCTTTTTCTCGAGACTCTGTTCTAATTTTCATGAGGAAAGTATCCATCTATCCCGGTATATTTACAAAGCATTACTTTTTTGTTGTCATTGAATGTCCTTATTTTCGTTATCTTAGAAGCTCTTTTAAGCTAATATTTCTCTTGGTCGGAACAAATATCGAAGTTGTTTCCTCATTTGCTGCTAAAATGATAACATCAAAATGCGATGCTTCAAACTGCTTGTTTATAACATGTGGATTCATTTCCTTATTTCCCTGCCCAATGATTTCGTAATCAATCGTATTCCTAATTTTACTTATCGTTCACCTCTAACCAAGTTTAACAGTAACCAAAGTGGGTAAGTCCAAGATTTTTGCATCTTTTTCGAAATGCTGTTAGTATGCTTGCTATTTCGGTTCGCCCCCTATCAATTTGACGGAGCTCCCCGTGTCCCTGTATTTACGTCCGTGATATTTTACAAATCCGTGACATATATAAACATTCTTCTACGTAGATCCCTGTTCGGCAAGACCATGTAAAAATGACGGCATTTGTCGACCGAAGGAAAATGGCCGATATGAGTGTGTTTGTACCCGGAGATTCAAAGGAAAGCACTGCACTGGTAGGACGTTTTTTTAAAACTAGACAAATACTTGGTGAATTTTATAATGAGCTAGCTTTGTAGAAGTTCATTTATATTTTTCTCTAAATGGTGTTATTTGTGCAATAGATTTCAACATATGCTTTGTACGATACGTTCATAGGATTCTGTTCTACCGATGGCATGATATAATATCTTCGACCTCTTCATAAAATTGGGTGTGATAAGCTAGGCTTGCAAAGTTTTATCTCTCTCTAAATAGTATTTATTGATTGGTCGTAAACCAAACAATTGGCAAATCAGCGAATAATTCCTCGGTTCAAAAATGATGATTGCCTTTATAATCAAGGTTATCTTTATGATATTCACTAATGTAATTATTTAGACATCTGGCCTCTTCATTAATGATTAACAATAATGGATCTTACAATTGAGTTTCTGTTATCACTTTATTTTTGGTACCCCTAAAATTCATGTTATCGTATTCTGTGTCTACAAGAAATGGCGATTGCCTTCTTTTCTGTTTTTTAGTTGGTCCAGGACAAAATGTCTTCTACATCGTTTAAAGGGGTATTCACTCTACCCTTTGCTTTTCTTACATCTTATCCAACTCTTTTACAACCCTATCCAAAATTTTTGAAGTGTAATTATGTATAACGTTTGATTCGTTGCAGTCCGAAATCGCTGCTACCCAAGCCCTTGTCATAACGAAGGACATTGTACGGAAACCGTGACAGGATTCGAGTGCACCTGCGCAGTTGGATTTAAAGGCAGAAGATGCGCAGGTATCAATTACATCGCATATGCACTTTCATGTCTTTATTACTATCTCGATTAAGAAGCATTGTATCTTTGGTGACTCGGGTCTTTGTCAGTTTCGACACACTCTTCCCCTCCTCATGGTCTATCATGTACAACGTAACATAAACAGAGCGCCACGCCTAACTTAGATCACCTATTGTCCTTCAACCTCAGGCAGATGCAGATTGCTATACTGAATTTCATGATAAGCAGTTGCAACAAACACAAACCATGTAAAAAAAGTCTCTTCATTTTCTTCTTTTTGAAAGATGCTTGATTTTTGGTGAGCCCCGCCCGAAAACTGTACTGGATATATTGAAACTCAAACTGGAGAATCCACCTGCCACCCCCTCCTGTGGCACTTAACACAGCAAAAATTTCAAAGTCGTCAACAAATTTCCGTTTTAATTCAAACAGCTACTCTGAGGATGGGAATAAATGATCCCCTGATTGTTTTTTCAGGATTTCTTTCATTCACTGCCATCTTTTCCACCTGCTTTTTGCATTAATTCCTCCTCCCCCTCTGTTTATTGAATTTTTGGTTTTGGACCCTCCCCGTTTATTTCTTCTCCATTCTATTTAATCCTTTGTATTTTTCCGACCACAGAGTAAGATTACTACGACGTGAAGCTGAGGTTGTTGTTGATGTTAACTTTTTTATGCCTTTCGCAATGCACAATTGAGACTCTATACACTTAAAGTCAATGTAAATAGGTTCTTGATTGTCTTCAAATTTTTTTGGTACAGAGAAAAATTACTGCTTACCAAACCCCTGCATGAATGATGGCATCTGTAATGAATCTCCCGATGGCTACGTATGCACATGTGGTCAAGGGTTCCAAGGAAAATCATGCGAAGGTAAATTTATGCAAATTTATGATTGCATGTGATTATGAATCCAAGCTAAATTCTTTTCAACGAATCTTCGATTTCCGAGTTTTGTTGCGCCGAATGTCATTAGATGTAACAAGGACCACCCATTATTATATCATGGTTTTGTTCACACAATATGTATTTTTCTTTCACTTTCTTTTGAAAGATATCGAATTGTTTGTTGTCATATCTAACTTCAATTTTTATGTTTCTCTGTTACTGATCCTAGAACTTATTTCTCTCTTAGTTTCTCTGGATGTGCAAATTATTTTGCAATTCTATCGATCATCATGACCTTAATTCATTTGATGCGCTTGTATCTAATCCTTGTTTCTCCTATCTCTACGCCAGTCAGAAGAAGTGCTTGCAATCCTAACCCTTGTTTGAACAACGCTCACTGCATAGTGGGAGGAAGCTCCAGCTTCCAGTGTGTTTGTCTGCAAGGATACAGTGGAAAAACATGCGACAGTGAGTACTTGTCCCTTCTCTTCTTTAGAAGTTTTGAGAGACTCAAATTTCTATCAAACTAATGCCATTGATGCATCATTTTTACTTTTTGGTATCATTTAGGCATCACAATTTGATGCAAGCAAAAAATATTCACATTAAAGCACCGCTTAAAATTGAAACTTTAAGCAAAGATCTGGAAAAAATTCGGCTCTTATATAATGCTATAAAATAGACCGTTAATTATGCTGTTGAGGACTAGCCATTGTTGAATTTAACTGCATGGTATGTCAACTATGATATATATGGAGAGAGGAAATTCTCTCTTAGGAATTGGAAAGCACCACCTCCCAATAAAAGGTAGCGCGAAATAAGCCCACGTGGTGTATGGTTATGCTGGCAGAAATGTAACGAGATTTTAACTGATTTTGGATCTGCAAGTGCTTCGGTGATAGTATACGACTGTTTATTTTACAGGTTTCGGATTTCCAGGAGAGAGAACGATAAACGGAAATCAAAGAAGCGACATCGCCGTTCCTTCGCCGTCTTTAATGGCGTGTTTGAACAACCCGTGCATGAACGACGGTCTATGCAGGCCAGATCCTACGACAGAGCGTGGATTCAAGTGTGTCTGTATCTCTGAATACAAAGGAGTTCTTTGTGAAGGTATCCTACTGTAGTTTACATGTGTTAAAAAGCATACTTCAAGAGAAGCCCTAAAGGAGCATACACAGAACAATAGTGTCCCTCCAACTAATCTATCTTTCATACGATACTGATACTGTGTCTTCATGTTTTTTTATTTTAGCTATCTATTAAATTACTTGAAAATCTATTCAAGTATTAAGGTTAAAAAATTACTCAACCTAGTCAATTAAAAATTTGTTGAAGATGCTAACTTTCACATAAGGAGTTCATTAGTGACTTGCTTTTCTTGCAGAAAAAACATGCAAGTGTGAAAACAACGGATTTTGTGTGACACAAGGGTTGCAGTCAAAGTGCATCTGTAAAGCTGGCTACGCTGGAGATCAGTGCGAAAGTAATTTTACAACTATTCATACATTATATAGTATTTTTTGGTATTTCATGTCAGTTTGACTTCTAAACACAAAGTTTAAGAATGACAAATATTTTAGGCCTTTTTTTCAAAATCCAGAAGAGTCGCACCAATTGACAGTGGAAAATTGGTGATTGTATCAAACACTCCCTCTTTCTTGTTGTTCTTTAAATTCTTTATTCTTAAAGCAAAAGTTAATGTTGACTTAGATAAACAGTATTGGCTATCGGGTAAAGGAATATCAAAGCTGTTTCCTTTATTTAGTTTTCGAGAATGCATAAGTTTCCTCGAAATTAGACCGGGATCACTGGTCTCTTTGTAGCATATTTGTGCATCATCACAGTTAATGCTCGTTTAATTGCGCGATATTGTTTATTCTTAAGAGCACACACAGTGCAATGACGATACTTGCATGCATGGCGGACTTTGCATTGAAGAAATAGGATCTTTCAAGTGTAAGTGCGAAGATGGCTACAAAGGACTTCGATGTGAAGGTAATATCATATTTTATCTTTAAAATGCAAATACCAATATGTTTTCAATTTAGTTTACTGTTCTCTTTCTTATCCATTCTTTGTGTATTTGACATGGCTGGAAGATTTTTGTTGCCCTTTTTGTTCAAGTATCCTTTTCCATGCTTTTAAAGTGTAGGAAAACGCATATTTCTGAATTAATATTTAAAAGGTTCGACTTTTGCAGTCGTCCTTTTACATGATTTATGATTCAAAATCTTGTGTAATTTATCCTTAGCCACATCAAAATTCAAGTAAATTGTCTCACCATGTAACAAATTAGATTGGAATTGAAGTTTTTGTCAAATGAAGCGATGCATATTCATTCATTTTTATGACGTATTTGGTTTATTCCCAAAAGAGATCTATTTGCAACAGAAAACCTAATTGAATTCATACGTTATGCTCAGGTGTCGACCATTGCAGTCCAAACCCTTGTCTTCATGGTGGTTCATGCAAAGACCTACGTGATACATATCAATGTGAATGCCCAAAGACTTATAAAGGCAAACAATGTGAAGGTGTGTTCATTAAAACTGATACTTGAATATTTTAAGAAGTATGGTGTCAATATGCCGGATGTTAGAACGCAGTTTTTGTGTAGGATGTATATGACCTAGTTACTTGGTGATAAGAAAAAAGCTTATTTTATACTGGTTGTTTATGCTTCTGAAACCGATGCGCCAATTGGTTTTCAATTCTAACGAGCAAATGAATTTCAACGGGTTGTAGTTATTCATACAACGGGAGGCGGCTGCATTGCGAAGCGGCAAAGAAAACTGATAACTTAAAAATCATTTGTTAAAACCAATTGCACCATTGAACTCAAGAACCATATGACTACTAAATTATAAGTTGAAGGTTTTTCATACATTATTTGTCTAAATTCTGTTTACATTTTCAGATTTCAACTTCTGTTTTCCAAATCCTTGTCAAAATGGTGGCACGTGCTTTGGATATTCCAGTGGATTCCAGTGTGATTGTCCAAACAGCTTCAGTGGCAAAAACTGTGAAAGTAAGTGACTTAATAAGTTAATAGAATTCGATGGAATCAAACTGTATGCTAATTTTTTCATTTTCTATCAAGTCGGAAAGCTGACCAATGGATAATGGTCTTACAATCTAAATTTTGAATTTGTGATTGGTTTTTTACGTGGTACTAGACGATTTTTTTACCAGCATTAAGGCTGCAAAAATGCTAATGAAGTTTATAAAGAGCACGAAAATTAGGTTTTTGCAATCTCCAATTTAGTCTCTTAGCAGATTATTCAAATATAATTAATATTTTATAAACAATTTTGATTGCTTTAACAGAAAAGCTGTACTGTAATTCGAATCCATGCAGAAACAGCGGTCAGTGTGTTGAGGTACCTGACAGCTTCAAATGTTTATGTGGAAAGGGATTTACTGGAAACTCCTGTGAAGGTAAGCAAAAGTTGAAGACTAGAAACCTTTTATCATCAATAAATGTGAACAACTCCCAATTTGATATGATCATATGAACTAAATACAATTATCAAGATAGTCAATCATGAATTCTTCATTTATCAAATTAACATGTGAATCAAATTGATTAGTAATTCTACTTGAAATTTGCAAACAATCTTTTCGTGATACAGTTTGCAAATTCAAGCAGAGGTACATAAAAGAGGAGATTGAGGATCTTAACGCATTAAGGTTCATTGTTACTAGTTACATGTTATTGAAAATTGTTTGCAAGGCTTTCTGCACCAATGTTAAACAACTTGGACAAACTCTTATTTTCCGTAGTTCAAAACTACTGTGCAAGCAGTCCTTGCCGCAACGGAGGCTCGTGCCAAAACAAAGGAAACAGCTTCAAGTGCACTTGTACTGAACATTTTATTGGAGACACGTGTGAAGGTATGTCAAAACAATTCTAGAACGACGTTAATGCAAAATCTTAAGTCGACATAATAATGAAAATAAATAAATAAAATCAGCATAAATCATTTCAAAAATGCAAATTTTGTGTAGACATGCGAATTTCTACTAGCACATTTTGGAATCCTTCTGCTCTACTGGTATTTTAAGAAGATTTTTATGCATTGATTTTACCAAGATTTTGCTGTTAGATCCTGTCCTGATGTCCTGCAAAGGTTATTTTGCATTCATAAGATCTTCTTAGGCTTGTTCAAAACGCTTCTTTTAATCTTGGTGTCATAGTTTAACAGGATGGAGTATTTCTTTAATTGAGCATCATAATTAAAGTCTGGGGTATGCTTTGGAAGAATAAAGTTTTCCTTTTGCCTCCTGTATTTGGCTCTTCGGCTTTTCTCCAACAAGTAGCCTTTATGATATCTTTGATCTATCGTTAAGTTTTATTTTTTAGTCTTTTCATTTATTGTTACGATTATTATAGCTAGTTTTGTGCATTTCGTTTCAGGTGCCCTGGTTCTGTTTATCTTGCTTCGCCTAAATCGTCTTTACTTAATTATTTTTGAAAGCAATTAACATAATTGCATATCTCTTTTCAGTTTTCAACGAATGTATTGAGAAGCCTTGTATGAACGGAGGCAAGTGTGAAATGCGGCCTCATGGAGGCTATAAGTGCTCGTGTACATTGGGATTTGCCGGTCCTCATTGCGAGCGTAAGTCTTGTTTTAGCATTCGATAATGGAAACGTATCGACAACTAAGAATCACATCATATTTTTTTAACATTTAATCCGAAAATTTTCAAATATTCCTCTTGCTTTATTTTAATATTTTTTGTAGTTGTACAAATATACTGTGTAATTAGACTAAAATATACTCGACCCAAAAAATGTATTGAGGTATCTATCTTAGGCCGTTAGCCGAAAAGCTTGATTTAAACAAAGCAATAATGATTCTAGCAAGATAACTCTTGGATAACTTGTTTTAAACTAAAACATGATAGGTATTATGGCAGGTTGGTAAAGTTTTATCAAAATTTTATTTCATAAGTGATATTTTGATAGCAGAAGTTTTCTAAATAAAATAGTAGCAATTCTTTCTTTTTTATATATCCGAAATAAGCTCCTCTCAATAACAGCAGGTTTGCATTATTGAAACTAATTTAAAGGACCAAAACCTGGATTGCAATCCGTTAGTATCGAGATTCGGAATCTGTTGTGTTTTCACGGCCACCCATGAATATGGGATCACAATCCCAATCCACCTCTGAAATGGGGTCGAATTTCGTTGAATAAGGTTCGCAATCAGGTCTTTAAGCATTTTCAGGATCAGAATCCCGATCTCCAGTCTCAATTTTCGCTGCATTTAAACGGAATAAATGGGTACAGCATTTCATGGACAATGCATCATATTCCCAAAACACTAAAGCATAGTCAAGTATGACACAACACAGTATAATAAGAACATCAAAATACAGCAGAAATGCAACATAACACAAGACAGCACAAGAATTAATAGCAACCCTTTTGCTTTCTTAGAAATCGATGAATGCCAGCCTAACCCTTGCAAAAGCGACGGTATTTGCACCAACAACCCAAATGGAGGGTTCTCGTGCGGATGCAAGGAAGGTTTCCGTGGCTTAACATGCGCAGGTACGGTCTTTCTCATTTTCAAGCAAAGTCCTACCTTACTTGAAAGAACTGTAGTACTTAGTGACTACTTTTTGTCGGCAAAAAATGCTTCCAAAGTCACATTTGTTGGAGATAAAGATAATTAGTCGCTTACACATTTCAAATAGGAGAATGTTGGCAATAAACTGGGCAATAAAATTATCCTCTTTTCAATTTTACTTGTTTCTTTCCAATATTTTTCCGCTTTTCCAATTTTTAATTCCACTTTTCTAAAGAATAAACTATCTACCTTATCTTATTTAACCTGAAAATTTTATCAAATCCACAAAAGAACTTGATTTTCTGAGACTCATTAGAGGTAATTCAAAGATGATAATGAATTTGTTATTAATCCATTGCATGATTTTTATTAATTTCTAGAGCCAGACCCTTGCCACCCCAACCCGTGTAATCATGGCGTCTGCGCGGAGATCAATGGAGGATATGTTTGTAACTGCACTCTTGGATTCCGAGGACCAGTTTGCTTAGGTTAATACTCACTACCGCTTTGCTTTCATTGAATTTTTATCTTATATCCAGTTTTTGCCAAGTTTATGTCAATTTTAAATGCACCAACAAATATTCTCTTTCTTAGTACCGCTCAATTGCAGTCTTTTTGACCTTTTCAGTATCTCATGTTTTATTCAGAACCATTGATAATTCTTTAATGACGGCCTTGAATTCATTGAGCATTGAGTTCATGAAAAATCTTTGCAAGGCCTGCTCTTATATATGTGATCTGATACAGACTATGTTTATTAGTCTCTTGGTACCTGTAATCTTATGGTGCCTTTCATTTGCTTGATACGTACCTAATGATACTGATGGCAATCTTACTAATACGTACCTAACCCCGGACTCCCTCAAACTTTCCCAGTGCAACTCCCGAGTTAAAAATGCTGATCAAAACTGAAAAGTAGACATGTATGTATTTTTATACTCTCTTCTCGGCTAAATAGATTATATTTCTCTTGTTCCAGACATTGATCGCTGCACACCTAATCCTTGTCAACACGGTGCATCTTGCCAAGAAATAAATGGTGGAGTGGGCTATGTTTGTCAGTGTCCGGTTGGGTACAAAGGACAAGTTTGCGATTGTATGTATAGTTTCTAAGTTTTGAATTTTGTCTTTAAATACAACTGAACTCATCAATCTATCGACAATGAAAAAGGCGTGAACCTCCGAGTAATCTTTTAGATTGACAGGAAATGTCGCATTTAGGAACATTGGAATGGCAATAGTTAAAAATTCGCGTTTCAAATGCACTGAGGTTTTCAAATCTTCATTGATCATGTGCATGAAGCATCCAAGTTTCAGCCGTCAAGGCCAAGTTCAAAATAATATATATGTGTATATACAAGGGAGACAATTGCAGGGCCTATTTAACATACTGAGGTGGCAATTGCTCCCACAGCCCTAATGACTTTCCATTGTTTTAAACAAAAGGCTATTGTCCTGCTCTTTATATAAACAAAGGTTTGCCCCCGCAGCTAGTTTCCCTTGGAATAGGCTATGAACCATTGCAAGATTTGTGTTCCAAATCCAAACACAAATGTGTACACAAGCATTTCAAAAGCTGATTTTCAACCAATGCAGATTTTTTTTGTATTTCTGAGTGTTTTATGCTGGAACTGGTTTTGTTTTAATCTACGTTGTTGTGTGTAAATATGTGATATCTTTTTGCAGTGAAAGATCCGTGCAACCCGTCACCATGTCTCAATTCTGGTTCTTGCAGTGAAACAATTATAGGATCAGGTTATCAATGCAAATGTCAGCAAGGATGGATGGGCTCTCGCTGCGGAGGTGGGTCTTTCTCTAATCGAAGTTACCTCAAAATCAGAGCGTGTTGAAATTGTCATATTCCCCATCAAAATACGATTTTTCTAATGGCTCTTCAAATAGAAGCATTGTCCCTTCATTAATTCTGTCATGCATTTGTCCTAAGTTTCAGCTCTTACGTTGTCCTGTATTTAAGTTAATCATTACAATATTAGCTGGTTGTCAAAAGTAAAAGAAATTATTATGATCATATCTTAGAATGCTACATTTAAAGGCCTGAATCCTCCTTTTTCTTCGTTCTGAAAATATAACTTGGACTTTCTCAACTATAGAAAACTTTTAAACCAGTGTTTTCCGCCACATATCTTAGTAAAAATGTTAACATATGTTCTTCTCAGCTGTGATATGTTTTAGCTCAACCATTAAGCATTTCTGGTATAGGCATCTAATTATGCTATTGTTGCGTAATACTTTTCTTCAATCTAATGCCTTCTGCTAGTGATGAATCCTACAGAACAAGAAGGGACGGAATTAGTTCTTTATCAAACAGTAACCATTGGCTATCATTGATACACCAAATAAACCTTTGCGTATAGATAATTTGTGCCATCATTCTAAATAACACGATAATATTAATAATATCAATAGTTTTTTCAATGCTTTCTATTTCTACAGATCATGACCCTTGCTACCCCAACCCATGTGAGCACAATAGTATCTGTCTGAACGATGGCAAAAATGCATTCAAATGCAACTGCACACAGGGATTCAAAGGAATAAAATGCGACAGTAAGGCTATTTTTGTTATGGAATTTAGTTAAACAACAAGCTGCCAAGTTATTGAAACACCAAGCTATTTTATTCGATTCGTTGATTGACTAAAATTTGGTCATCAAAACCTCGGTAATATAACTGTATTTTCTAAAGTGGCCTAGATTGTCTCTCACTTTTAGTCCATATGTGTTGGCGATTTGAAGAGCTGCCTGCTTGAACTCACCATACATGCTTTATAAACAATGTTTACCTATTTCTTTTTAGCAAAACATAATTCAGATTTTTAGAATTCATAATTCAAATTATCATAACTGGATATAATTAGAAATCTGAAAACTGAATGCTCTGGTAGACACAGCTAACAGAAAAACGTTTGCAAATGATTGTTACAACACGTAATGTTATTTTCCTAAAACATTAAAAACGAAACATAAAATAGAGCTTTTGTTTGCATTTTTCAGAAATCGACCTCTGTTCTCCAAACCCTTGTCGTTTCGGCAGCCATTGCATACAAACAGACGAAGAGAGTTATCAATGCGTCAAGAACTTATGCACACCAAACCCATGTAAACACGAGGGCAAGTGCATTGTAGTGAATGACGAGGGATTCGAATGCGCGTGTCACAATGGGTGGCGCGGTAGAAATTGTGAAGGTTTGTAAAACAGGCAAATATATCAATTCCAGGTGTAACAAGAATGTCTAGCAAAGTATTGAGATTCATTTATTAGCAAATTTTAAAATTTCGTTTAAGTCTGTTTGATTGCAGAACAAATTGAATGTTTTGATTTGTATGTGGATCAAGTTAGGCCAATGATTAAAGTAATAAAAAACACATAATATTGACACTGCACTAGAACAGTCAGCGCCACATTTTATTTAGTTAATATATATTTTTAGGGAAAGAAGCTCCAAGCAAAATTATTTTAATTACTGACAGCAATCTTTAATTGCCACATGCAAATGATGATAGTGTCGAAAGACTTTGTAAATCTCAAATAATAAATCAAGTCTAAAAAAGTGTATATTATCTTTAAGAACCAGGTTATTAAAAGAGAACCATGAGATGTTGATGTGTTGCAGCACTTTTACCTTTGTCAAAATTTTTATTTATCATTCAGATCGATCATAATGTATTGTCCATTAAAACATATATGCATTATAAATATCAAACATCTATTTAATATATTTCAACTTTATTAATGCCATCTACTAATATAAATATAAACTTGCTCTAGAATAACGGATTTAATTTTTCTTAATTTCTTTTTCTGTCAAATTGTGCTGATAAAGGACTTTTAGTGTCATTTTGATCCTCAATTCCTCTTCGAATATTTTTTCTAGATTTTGACCCTTGCTTTTCAAACCCATGCTTAAATGGTGGGACTTGCTCGGAAAATTCAAACGGCGGATTTTCATGTTTATGTAGCAAAGATTTCTCAGGAAAATACTGTGGAGGTATGAAACTAACATGCGTCTTTATAGATTTTTTCATTTTGTGTAACGTAGAAAAGTTCTTCGTTCACTACAAGCTCTTCGTTAATTGCCATGGAATCAAAATTTCTTGGAAACGTAAAAATTTTGAGAATAATTTCCTGTTTTATCATTGATTTATTGAAATATACATGCTGCCATATGGAACAGATATCGCGAAATTTTTTTGAAATTGCGCAAATGTCACCCAGTACCCTTTGTCTCCTACAAACAATTCATGAAGTCAACTAACATCATATTACCAGGTAACATTAAAGCCTAGGTTTGCGGCAGAACCATGCTCAGCTAACTGGGACCTCATCTCTTTTCTTAAATCTTAAAGAGCTTTTCATGCAAAATTCTTTTTCCATTCTGCATATAGAATAAACTTAATGTGACTGAATATGACAGTCTAAACAGAATAAACATTCTTCACTTTGTCTATTTTTTATTTCTTTGAGATTCATTAGTTGCACCATTAAGGCTTTAGATATATTTTGTTTAAAGGAGTTTGCGATAGAGAAAAATTTGCTATCGTCAAAAATGTTATAAAGCTGTATCTATGAAGTCAATGACAAAATTCATATTCTTCAGTTGTCTTTGTCTCATGTTCAGTCACCTGTTGCATAGACACAATGAGCCTGACTTCCTTAGCATAACATGTCATATATTCGAAGCCGATAACCGTATGAGCAGCAGTCGCTTCATTGAGCAACTCAGTAAACACTTCCCCTTTCAATTCGCTCGCTATTCAATGAGGGATTGTTAAAACCCATGGAAATCATTGATTACACATAAGCAAATTGTGTTATTACTTGATTTCGTCCAAACCATTAATGATTTCTTTAATTATTTGTTTGACGCATTGTTGGGTTTTTGATGAAACAGCATCGTTTAAAGGAGTACTTTGCTTACATGTGCAACAAACTTTTAATAATAGTTTATGCAATGTATCACAAACCATCGGAAGACGCTGTTTCTGTCCTGGGTCCAGGTTTTTGCACTTGAATCAGGCAGAACTCAGTTAAACTCAGGCACCGACGGAAATCACTGGGTTGATCATGAAGTGCATGCACATGATCCTAATTTTTTTCATTCTTCATTCAGATTCCAAAGCCAAAGCAAAGGCAGAAGGTAAGCCGGATACTTGTAACGGACAGCTCTTCGCTAGTTCTTGTTCCTTGTTTTATGAGTTTCTTGACCCTTGTTCCTTGACTAACGTAAGAACAGGAAGAAAACATCTTTGAATTTTTCCAGGGCATGCGTTGCAAAAGTATAAGAAATGCCTTCTTCGATTTTCCTGGCAACTTTTTCAGTCTGTTTTGTACCTTGAAATACAAATTTCATTCTGTTTCACCTATTAACCTTACTAAAACTATTTTGCTATATTTTTTTGTTTTTACACAAAACACCACTTGTTACTGGGTTGTCAAGTGAGGATTGCAAACAACTTGATTTACCAATTTGATTTATAAATATATTCTCAAAAATTTTAATCACTTAACGTTATTTAGAGACACGTCTTTTTAGTCATTCTTAACGCAAAGAAATTTATTTTTGCCATTTGGAAAAATTTTGCAAGACGCTTTTTAACTCGTGGATGGTTTTGATTTTCGTTTCATTTAATTCTTGAATTTCATTTAATGCTGTGTATGAAATTTATTTTGATATCGTTTCTGGCTGTATAATTTTTTGATATTACAAGTTTTACCTATTGCTATGAATGCCAGGAAGTATCGATGCAAATATCGTACTAATGCAACCCTGATTTTATTGCAGCTCGATGGTGTACATCAAACCCTTGCACAAATGGAGGCACCTGTATTGAAACAGATGGTTCATATAACTGCCGCTGTCCTATTGGGTTCTCTGGCACTATTTGTGAAGGTGAGTAGTTATTTACGATTCTTGCAGGAAAATCTATGCACTTTTCCCTTTAAACTAACCCAATGTCAATGTATTACAATGGAGTACCTCCACAAAACATATCGGCAGTTTTGATAAGGATTACTAGTCACCTATTGACTAGCCTCTTGGGATGGACATTTAACCTCTTGAGATGAACATGCTATCATTTGAGCGAGACAGTTGGCAGTCATTCGCTCAGTAGGTTAAAGTCCTGTTCATACGTCACCCAACCCCTTTTTACCCCAACCTTTACATATTTCAACAATGAAAATGGGTATGCTGTTTTCATTTTCAAATGTGATAAACTTGCTGACAGCACAGTCTACAATCAGGAAAAAGATTCTGCTCACCTAGAGAATTTGGAAAAGACAATTTATGGGCTGGTTTTTAGTTCTAAGAATGTTTTTGAATCCACTCTTTCAGTTCTAAGAATTATTTTTGATTGCTTAATAATCTAAAGGAAACTTAGCATGCAAAATTTTATTTTTTCACAAGTTGCAATTCCTATAGTGGCAGCCTCTTGGTTCAGAATTTATTCATAAAACAGGCTCATTTTTTGCTGTTTTCAATCAGATTGTCATAATATCAAACACATTCTAATTTTGAATTTCAGAGAGCGTTTGTTCCCCAAATCCTTGTGAAAACGGTGGCCTATGTGTTCCCTATTACGGTATTGCTCTTTGCAAATGTACCCATGAGTACACAGGGGCCCATTGCTCAGGTACGTACACGGTCTTTGCTCCTTTTCACTCTCTCAAACTAAACAGAATTGTTCAGTTTACACATTTCGTTCTAGTATTTACCTTATTTAAGGGATTTGTTGCAAAATTCCAGCCGTTAGCCATAGTTTACTAATATTTAGGTATTTATAATTGCCAATTCATCTAGAGCAACTTTATCTAGAATTTAAATTCGTCGTTTTCTCTCGATTTTAGATTCCATCTCCCCTCTCGAGGGGTATCATACAAAATCATTTATACAACTATATAAGAAAATGATGATATCGTAATTATATTTTGAAATTATAAGTTAACGTTTTAAATGTGTATTATTATAAATCCTATGGAATCTCGGATGGTTTAGAACCTATCTTTTCGCCTCTTTTCTATTATCACGAGCCACCCTGTTCTCATCTCCAAGCTCTAAAGCTTGTTGCCAATACGTTGTTGATCCCAAAATTCGATAATTTAAGATTTTAAGTTGATACTTCTTTCCCTTTGTCCAACAGAGAAGAGACGTTCAGACCCATCTGTAAAAGAGAAGAGTCCAACTGCACAGTATAACTACGTCCCGATGCCTCCAGCAGCTGCAACTGGCTCGGGCCGTAGCATGCCTTCCAATATCGTGAACTTACCCTCGCTTTCAAATGCTGCGCGTGCAGCCTCCGTCTCGTTTGGGCCCCCTTCTTTTCTCCAACCTCAAGTTGGTGTTATTTCGACACTTGCAGCGCTGCAGGGCCCTAGTGTTGCAGCCATCAATCCGCAACTACTAGCCGCTCCAGCTCCACCAGCATCTTTGCCAGCGAAAGGAGTTACGAGGAACACCATCAACACCAATACATTATCAACTGCGATGATAAAGAAGGACGGTAAGTCCAAACAACACGTTGTTTTCCTAGCCCTTCTCAGTATTGCATCTTCAAGTCAAAGCTGACAGTTTTAGTAGAGGACGTAGCCAAGCAGGATAGGGATCATGTATAGACAGATGTCATTTTGGTAGGAGAGATTTCCCTGACCCTGAGCGACCTGTGATTCGTTAATAAAGTCAAAAGCTCCTCGACGTGTATGATTTTTGTTATCCTGTGTTGCATTTATCAATGTTCAATTGAATATGCAATCCATGGTCAAAAGACTGGATACCAAGTTAACGCCAATGGGCGGATATATCACTGGTCTAATAACGCATACTTTTTACCCCTTCATAACAAATGATTGCTTTTCACTTTCCATCAATAGACCTTTCCTCTAATTACGTCATGGCGCAATGCATTCTGGTACTTGTGATTAAACCCGTGAACATGTGTTTATGTTTTGTATGGCGATAGGACGAAGTTCTGTAATTATTTGACGCTCTTTGCTCAAATAACCAAACAAATCTTAGAGAATACGGCAAAATATACCGAGCAGCTAACAAATTTTCGCGGGTTTAGCTACAAGTACCAGAACGCATTGCACTATGACGTAATTAGGGAAAAACCTATTAGAAGGGACAACAGCCTCCCCTTCGACGGCCTCTCCTCTCTCAACACGTGTAGGTGACTGTGCCCCTTTATACGATAGAGATGACATCTGACGACCAAAACACTTTGACATTCTCATTTTCCCCTTTTGTACAGAATCATGTGTACCTTCACCATGCCAGCATAATGGCATGTGTGTCATGCGGACAGACAACACCCCGGAATGCGTTTGCACCAATGAATTCAGTGGACCACATTGCGAAGGTGACTGCGACACTAGTACAAATACAATAACTTAACTATTACTGATTACGAACAAGATAACATCAGCAGATTGACATTGTGCTCAACGTACTGTGACATATACTTCTTGTGACATTGTGCGACATGTAACAATGCTCTTTGTGCGACATGTAACAATGCGCAAGGAGTATAATTGCTCGAATTTACTTTTATATGGGGCCCATTACTGACGTTTCATGACAAACGTATTCATTTAACATTCTTGAGTTGTGCATTACCTTTACTTTTGTATTAATTTCCTGTACTATGAAGATAAAATCCCACTTGAAAATTGATTCCATTTGCCTGATGTAGCTGTTTTTGCTATCAACTAAACACTCAAGTTGCCATATTTGATAGTATCAAGGCTTACAATGCCTGCCAAAAGTCTTGGAACACTTGCTACAATTTACGTTGTGCACGAGCTGCAACATCCCCTCCCCCCTTGTACAATGTTGTGCCACGGAAATATTAATAATCCAATCCTACATGTACAAGTGATACATTTTTACATAGCTATGGTTTTCAGCTAGCGAATCAACATTGTATGCGGGGGAAGGGGGGCAACACCCTCCTTGTTGACATGGAAATAGAAAGGAACACGCGAATTCACAGAAATCTCAGGGTGTTCCAAGGACTTTTGGCAGGCATTGTAGAAACAGCTACCTTTCTATCTAGCAATCTACATGAAAAACAGAAACCTGTGTTCAAACTTTGTCTTAGAAAAGATTTAAACATTCAATTCTATGGACTTTAAAGCGTCTCAAGAGAATGTGTGGGCTGTTACTGAATCTTACTGAATATTTTAGTCATATCAGAATCTCAGATTCTCTCCAGCGCCGTCCAGGCGTGTTCTGATACCTGGCGGTTGTGATATAGGGATTTGTAGTCAACTGGGCGTGGTGCTGTATAGCCAACAGTTCACTGCAGACAGCCCCCGTGTCTATATTTGTATAAACAAGGGGAACAAAGTAAAGCCGCTATTCGCAACTGCTTTCATCTGTTTATGGAAACACCCATACATAACATGTCTAGATATACCCGTTACTTGCCCTGCTTACCCAAGCCTCATGCAGTTCATGTTCGGCTCTGGAGAGTATCAATATGTTTGCGATGTCCCAAATTATAATCAAGGAATGTTTTGTTTTGTTAGAAATTGGAACATATGGATATTCATCGGCTCCTAAGTTTTTCCCCAAAGGTGGGTGCTGCTTTTAATTCATCAATAATCTTACTCTTAGATGTTTTTGTTTTATTAATTTGAGAGTTACAGAAGCCATATTGATTCCTAGTATCTTTGGCTAAACTTTAACTATCAAGTTATCAAAGTTTAAAATATAGAGTAACTTAGAGGATAATTTTCAGAGAAAAATTAAAGGAACAGTTGCCTGATAAAGACAGTACGCGTGAAACCCACAGTAGCAATTAAGAATTGTCCTGTTCTATACACCAAAATCGTAGAGGAAAATCATGTAGAAAATCCGTTTTCTGGATCATGGTCACTTTTAAGCAACAACAACAAATGAGAAATAATTATTCTCAGCATTATTTCTAATGCTTGAATTACGACATTTTATTTAATTATTGTTTAATTTAGGACATTTTCATCTTGATCAATTAAAACAATCACGATTCCTTGGTTCCTTCAGTGCTTTCTAACGTGTTTGATATTTCAGACATTGCTTTTATATCCTGACCGTGTTTTTCTTTGAATTGCTATCTTCAGATTTAATGCTAGATTTAATTGCCCGTGTCGATGGCAAATATATTTTTGTAGCTCTAGAGGATCTTATTTCACTTTCGTTTGGATTTCTTCAGTATATCAATTACCATGATAAGTTTTCTAAATGAAAGCGACATAAAATTTACTTCATTTCTTGTCTATATTCAGAGGAAACATTTCATTGACTTTTACCATCTTGGAAGTAAAAGCAATGTAAGATAATAGCATAATAACTTGCAACGGTGTTATTGATACCTTGTTCTTCTTGGCTTTAGTACATTAAAAAAATATCGATTCCGTTATCAGTCTTTAGAAAGCTATACCATTGCTTGTAACATGTTGTTTGTAAATCAATACTTCTTTATTTTGTAGACGAATGCAACCATTGTGATGAAAACGCTATATGCGTGAACAGTCATTGCATTTGTAAGGACGGCTACGTGGGTGATGGCTTGGAATGCTGGGGTAAATCATTGATTTCTCTTTTAACAACGATGCGATGTCACTCATTTTCCCCTTAACTGCAACTGTGCATTTTTCCCTTAACCCATCTTGATTTGGTAGGCAGGAGCAAATCCATTTTGATTACTCTACTTGTTAAGTTATTCTACTTGTCAAGACTTTTAAGACCGTCATTCATGACACAAGTCATTTCTTTGTTTGCTTTCTCTATCTAAAGTTGTGTAATGTCTAGCTATACTAACGCTTATTAAAACCAACTAATCTTAATAACCATCGCACAATATGAATCATACGCAACTAGTATTGCATAAGTATTCATTTTCTTTCTCTCTCCCTCTATCTCTCTCTCTCTCTCTCTCTCTCTCTCTCTCTCTCTCTCTCTCTTCTCTCTCTCTCTCCTCTCTCTCTCTCTCTCTCTCTCTCTCTCTCTCTCTCTCTCTCTCTCTCTCTCTCTCTCTCTCTCTCTCTCTCTCTCTCTTTCTCTGTGGTGAACATTTTATCATTTATTGAACAATAGCAGCGTTTTATTGTTTATATTTTATCTTTTCAGCTGAATCATCCAAAGACAAGGAATGGAGTTGTGATCGAAACCCTTGCATGAATGGTGGAACTTGCAAGTATGGCCGTTCGAGATGTGTCTGTAAACTCGGGTTCACAGGCGATTATTGCCAAAGTAAGTACGATTCATGAGCATCATCTAACATAGCACGACCAATATTATAAAACTTTACTTGCCTCTTTGATTCTAGTTTCAGAGATATTATAAATCTTTTTCAATATATAGATGCAGCAGGGTCCGCATTCTTTGATATGAAATTTATTGTGTTCATTTCGATTCGCAACGTTAGCACTGTTTGCAAAGTGTTTGCGATTTAGAAAATTTTAATCTTTTAGGCTAACCCTTAATCAAGGCCAGGAGAAAATTAAGTTTAACGACTTTTCCTACATGGTCAAGTTGAACAACTTTCTATTTGACAGATTTATATGCCCTCCCCCCCCCCCTTTCCTTCCATTGATTTGATTGTATATAAGGACTTAAGTTTTCTGTGGCACTTTCATCACCCTTCCCTTTTTTCAGATTACTGCCCACCCTTGGTTCATCTGAGCTTTGATAAAATGCGCGGGGCGTTGGCTGTGGATGAGTCTGGTAACAACAATGACGCTATGTTGATAAATGGTGCTGAAATTGTGTATGAAGGAGGCAAATGTGATTCAGGAGTTTCCCTTCTCGGTATGCACAATGCAAACGTACTTGATGGAAACCTTTTTGCTTTACTTTTACTATCTATATGATGGATTATGCCCATTTCATAAACCAATTCAGAACACCTTAATGTACTGAATGTGTTTTCCTCAACTTACGGATCAGTTCAAATGATTTCCTTAACCTTCCAATATACAGTTGTTATTTTACATATATGTCAACCAAACATATGAGTATGTAAACTTTTTTCGGCATTTTCAGTTGTTTATTTATTGATGGGTTTTTTATTCATTTATACTGTTTTTTATCTTGTAAATTTTTGGCTTTACTTCTTCTGAGTCTTTATGTTTTTAATGTAACTATAAATTTACCAGTTACTTATTTCCTGGAGCGATGAAAATGTTTTCTCTCCATTGCTAATTTTGATCGGGTGTCATTATTGCTTATACGGATTGCATTTAATTACTTTTGCTTCAAATTATTACCATTCGCTTGTAAATTTTTTGAAACGAATCCAAAAATGTTTTGTAGGTGGAGATATTTTATTTGATGGTGAGCGATTTTGGCCTAAGCCTGTGGAAGCAGTTACCATTGCATTATGGATAAAGCTAGATACAAACAAAGGAATTCAATCTATATTTGATACAATTGGTCAGAAGTTCTCCAATCATAAAGAAGGTCAATATCACGTGGAGATTGAAAACGGGAAAGTCAGATGGTTCCACAGGAACGAGCAACACAAAGTTGTGTTTAGCATTATGTCACAGCCTCTGGTTGGTGAGAACGTCTGGCACCACATTGCTGGGACTTATGATGCCCAAAAGTCAATCGCCAGAGTACGTAGTTCTGATCTCCGTATCAAGTATTTCATATTGTAGAAAAAGAAAACAAAAAACACTTCTGAGTTTAAGATGATTTGTAAAGACAATGGAAGCAAGGAAGCCCAAAAAGGAGATCATTTGCCTCACCTATTTTATAGGATGTTTGTGGGATATCACAAGAGGATACTCGAATTTTTTAACCTTTAACTCAAAAATCCAAAAGGAAATCATCCTCCTAAACGAAATGTATTTGTTTGACATATACCTAGATGTCAATAAGTGGTTTCATTCTTTGCTCATATTGAATATCCTTTGCCTGCAGCCTCGGTTGCATGCAGCTGGTCGATGCCACCCTAGTATGCATTGCTGCAGGGGGTTTAGTTATTGTTCGGGTGTTCATGTAAATTTACACATTGAGAGCAAGGGGGTATAGTCCAGTTTCTCTCGTTGTTAACTTTAAGTCGAGTGCCAGTTCCGTTGAAAAACGATATATTATAAAGGATGTTTAAGGAGGCCACAACTGGATACCCTTATTTTCTTATTTTCCAGCTATTCTTGGACGGAGACTTAGTTGCGAAAGGCACAGGTAATGGATATCTATCTCAAGACTGGACTGGAAAAGCTGGAATAGGTAAGTTATTCAACTTTGTATTGAAGTAAGCTATTTTTTGCAGTAGTCCATGTGTCCGCTTTTTGGTGCTATAAAGTGTTGGATCTTGGAACTTTATTGTCTCTTTTACCTTGTTTTGGCTCGACCTTGTAAATGTCCTTGCTCTCGATGCACTGAAAACTCTTCGTATGCTAATTTTTATCCTAGGAGCAGAAAACATAACTCTACTTCGATGATCACTCATCTTATTAGAAAAAATTCAAAATTTGTTAAATACCTGAAATCTGTGATTTGTAAAATCTGTGAATTCATTTTTTTTTTACCTAAATTTGCCTAACGTTCTTTACCATATCTAACTAAGTCTCTCTTTAACATCAACTCCTCTAAATATTCTGTACATATGTCAGGTAAGCACGAACATCCTTATGGAGATCGGCTTCTCCGAGGCATGGTTGATGAATTCTTCATTTTTGGTTGTGCTCTTCCGAGACTTGAAGTTCTTGTGCTGATGCACCATTGCAAACTTTACTTTGGTAAGTACGTTTAAAACCTTTAAGTATCTTTGAATTAGTATCTTTGAGTATCTCTAAAATCTTTAAATTCATAGAAAAACAAGTTTTTACAGGCACCCTTTTCTGATCTTTCAAGCAAAGTTGATTAAGAAGACTTTTCAGGGCTTCCAGTTGTTCGCTTTAGGTCATGTGATGTATGTTTATGTGGTATTTTCAACTAATATTGATTCGGGGTATAAGGTTGATTGTGTGAGTCTCCAATCAATGAATCCTGTTCTAAAAGCTGCTTAACGCAAATTGCGTATTATTCTAAGAGCTTTTATAATTAAATCTATATACAGGGAAGAAGAAAGATTATTCTAAAGCCCAGCAAGTTCCAATAACTGCGCCCTTACCGATAGCCAATGTCAACAAGCCTGGTCGTCTCCATAATATGACTATACCTGCAGACCACTGGGTTTACAGCGTGGGTGAAAACATTCACATAAACGCAGACACAAGGGCAGGCATCGGCAAGCCAAACTTGGGTCTGAACACAGCCAAGCCCCGACAACAGCAACAACAACAGAGACAACAACAACCATATCTTCAGCAGGGAATGATGCGGACTACTAATCAAAAACAGCAACCACAGAAATTACAACAGCAGCAGCCGGTAAGGTTATTGTAATTTCAATAAGGATTGCAATTAGGATTGAAACATAAACTGCTTCTAAACCAAAGCCTTTATATTCAGATTCTGATAGGATGCCTGTTTCACAAGAATCTATTCTACATGTTTTCCACAGAGAAAGATAATATTTGGTGCAATAGGTTTAAATAGATCGCACCTTTTAGTTACATTAATGACTTAAATCTAAACAACTAGATAAATAGAAAAATCTAAACAACTTCTTTTGAGTTTTCTGAAAAGGCAAGTTGTCTTTGCGAATCGAACACTCGTTTTTTGCAAAAGCTAGACATAGAAATGATCGTTTATTTGGACGTGACTAGAAATCGGAAAAATATTCTTTCAATTTTTTCATTCTATTTTATTTTTATGATACTTTTACCAACGTTTCACAGTTGTTTCAGTTTACCTCAAAAGCATCATATCCCGATGAATTTAAATGGTGATTTAAATTCCCATTGGGTGCATCATGGTATAGATAATTGTTGTATTTACCAATCAGAAACACGGGATAAGTTATCACCAAAGTTGACTGACTGGATTTATTGCCTTTTAAGTCCTTTATAGTTGATTCACAAATACTGCCTTAAAGCTTTTCTTTGTAATAATGTCTAGATTGTTTTTACCTTAGTTTGAATATTTCAAAATATCATTCATTTCACTACAATGCAATACAATACAATAAAATACAATACAATACAATACAATACAATACAATACAATACAATACAATACAATACAATACAATACAATACAATTTCCACACGAAAGCACACAATAAGTTAGTATCAATAGTACAGATTTCTGAAAATTAAAAATGAATCACAAGGGATTGAATGATTGAGAAAATGATCATGAAAAGTATTTCATCCAAACTGATGACGGATCTGGGAGATGTTTTTTGCTACATTTAGTTTTGCTACTGCTTGTCTTGCTACGTCTTTATTTCTTTCATTTTTAGATTCAGCCTTACAAGACACCATTCGCTGCTACGGATATGAGGCAATATCAACCAGTTGGAAAGAGCCAGCCAAATGCTGCAAATAGCCCCTCCTCGGCAACATCTGGATTTAAAGATTTCAAAGCATTGTGGGAAGCCTGGAAAGCAAAGAAGAGGGCAGAAGATGCCGCAAAGAAGTCGCTGACAGACGAAGGGAGAAAAATCGAGGAGGTTTATCAGAGCTTATTCGGAAACAAAAACGCACAACAAAGTGCTCCCAAACCCCAAAACAGCAATTTTGTGAGTCCAGCAACCCAAAAAGTTGAGCCACCATCACAAAAATCAGCTGTAGCTAGTTATAATGATCCCTTCAAGTATCAGCAGCAAATTCAAAATTATGATCAGAGAGGAATATATGGACAACAGGTATCAAACTACTTACCATACACACAAAACAATGGGAACGGGAACGGATGGAATTACCAAAGTAATTATCAAAAGAAAGATTTTGCTGGGAGGTTTAAGGCTGAAAGTCCTTCGTATGTAACTGGAAACATGAAATCTGCCGTTCCTGTTCCGATGGGACCGAGAAGACCAAATCCAAAAAACAGCTTCGTTCAACAACCCAGAATGCGCAATCAAGTAGCCCCAGGTCAAGCGATTGTGAATAATAATCCCAGAAGCCCTTTCTACCGCAACAGCATTGGCAATAATGGTATAAATTTTGCCGCCCAGCAAACTCGAAATCAAATGCCGAATGACATCAAAAGCCAGTTGCAAAGAATGAGGCAAATATACGCCAGCAAGAGAACACAGCACCCTCCGGTTGCAAAGTCTGCTGCTCCAAAACCGAATTACAATCTTTTGCGGGGTGAATGGCCCGAGCCAAATTCGGTACGAGAGTTTGCGACAAATCGTGGAATCGTTCGAATCAAGTCAGTAATAAAGCCTCTGGTGAATGGGAGACAAGCTCAAGCCAGTGGAGCACGAGCAAACCTGGAACGAAAGAACCAAATGGCGCAATCGCATTATCAAAATCCTTGGGCGACCTATAATCTACTGAAATCACAACTGTCTTCGAAACGGGACAATTACAGACAAGCTGATTCCCATGCTTTGTCTTCAACGACGTCAAATACGTGGGAAGGTGCAACTGCTCCCGGCCAGAAAGGCGCGGGTCACAACTATGGCTACGGTTACGGATATGGGACCGGCGACACTTTAAAAGGTGGTGGCTGGGGTCAAGGTTTCGGCGGTGGTGGACCTGGTGTAAACAAAGCTGGAAACCACCATACTCCAGATTTTGATAACAAAAATACGCAGTGGGGTCAAGGGCAGGGTTGGGGGCAGGGTGGCAAAGGTGTGCCACAGCGGGAAGAGTATAAACCAGCACCTCCTTCAGGGTCTCTTCTCCCTAAACCAGGCAGACAGGCACATGCTCCGGTTAGGCACATTGTCCAGAATGCTCAATGGTCCAACCCCTCAAGAAGGAACGGTGCCCCTCTTTTGGCTCCAAAGGGACCCTCAATAATGAACTTTAATCCAGCTGTCCATCCGGCATTACAGAAGCAGGGGCTGTACCTCAGAGGGGGCACCCCAGTCTCAAGTCCAGCTTATCAAGTGAAGTACTTTATGAATGATAGAAATATGGACTATCAAAATGATCCAGCCAGGACGATGAGAAATGAAATTATCTCGAATGCGGTTGCTGATGTGCTAAAATCTATGGGCAAGAAAAAGAAGAAAAGGACAACAAAATCAGAATAGAATTTCCTGTATTGCAAAGATAGTCCCCAAATAAGAATGAGTCAGGACTAAACTGCGTTGCTATTCCATTACGTTTGATGAAATGGCGGAAATGCATGTAGGCCAATGTGAAAAGACTACTCAAGCGTTTCTAGGATTCACTCCTTACCAGTTACATTGCTGTTTTCCTAAGAGAACATTCACAACAATACTCTACAAGATAGATATTTAAACTTTGTTTCATACATCAGTTATAAAATAGCAGTCCTCGTCATTCGTTTAACTTTATCACGCTATGTGATAGGCAAAATCTCCCTAGCTTATATTCTTTTAGTTGTTTATTAGTTTTTTTGTTGACTATAATAGAATTAGAAAAATAATTTTGCGATGTTCAACATATAAATCTGGCAACTCGAGACAGTTTTGTTACCAGACTTCCGGAATGGTGATATATACAAATTAAAAGTTAACAATTAACTCACCGAAAAATTACTAAAGAGAGAGCTACTCAGAAAACTGTTTATCTAGTAACATCGTATGTTTAATTGTTGCTTCACCAGAACACGGCAAGTTTTGCAACTACTCAAAGCTAGCAACTAACCCATCTTCTCAACTTCACAATTTCTCGAATTTCAGACCTTCGACATTCGATACACTGTTTCTAATAATCTAATCAGGATTTTTATTTATATTTTCAGTTTCTAACCATGCTGTCATCAATAAGCTGTCATCTTTCTGGTATACCTCAGTTGAATGTTTTTTCCCAAGCATTTGATACTCCAGCTGAATTTCGATAGCGTCCTGCAGTCTGGTTTGCATTCTACCAAGGCTGCTTGTATTACGGCAAATGAAATTGCCCAATAATCAGTTAAGATTGCTTGCCAAGTCATTTATTTGTTTGCACTAATTTCTGGACCAAAACAGGAACAGTAATAGATACAAACTAACCTCTGTGAGATGTAACTTTAAATACTTTTATTTATCTAGTGGTTCAAATATTTTTGTACATTTTCGTCTTGTAAAACACATTCGTTAAGAATGTTGATGATTGTATAAATTTTGTATTCTAATCTCGTCGAGATTTTTAAATAATTGAAATGCAATAGTATTGGTTCTGTGTTTCAATGTTTCATTTTTCTACAGTAAAGGCAGCCCTGTCCAATTTCAAACAATATTGTGTCGTTACAGGAGTGATTCAAAGGTTGTAGGGTTTTTTTGAATTTGTTTCTACCCAGCATCCGAAGGTAGTTTTTAGGACACTGATAAGCTTATGCTTATCGAGCAGTGTCCTGGTCCTTCCTCTCGATGTGACCACACCTCGTGATTCCTATACCTGGAATTACAGAGAGCTGGTGACTCTGCTCACTCTTGGTGAAAGTTTGGTCTTGCCAGGGTCTGCAGCCTGCGCCTCTAACAACTGAGCCATCCTTTCACCTGGTAGGGTTTAATAAGGCAATTACGATCAACCCCTAATAAGTCGAACCTTCAAGAGAACAATCAAAATAATTCGACTTATCGAATGATACAGAGACAGGGGCTCTCGTTATCAAAAACCGTTGGAAATGTACCATGATAAAAGTAGAATGTATTAGCATCAGCCCATTGATATGCGTTCACAGAAAAATTCAGATATCGGTTTTTTCTCTTTTTCTATCCACAAAACCTTTTTTCAAATTATTGGAAATTTTAATAATCTTAAGCAAGAAATGATAACATCGATCGCCTTTACTATCTTGAAAGCAATCTAGTTTACTGTGTTCACTAAAAAAAGGAGATGAAAATTTTTGTATGGCGTAGTTAAGGCTAATGACTTGGGAAAAATCTCAGAATTTTAAAACATTATTTGTTGAAATTAAAAGAGAATTTATATATCTTAAGTAAGGAAAAACATCTTTAATGGCTTTTCCTTTCAAATACATCAAGTTTATTTTATCCACAAAATTACAAAAAGAAAATTTGTCTTTTTCATGCAGAAGCTTAAAATATTCATTTGGAAAAAGCTAAAATTTTTCACAAATTTTTTGATGTAAATGACATTTGATCAATAATAAATGCAAAGATTGAAATCGTCAATGACTGTCTACTTGAAACAATTGGATTTTAATGTATCCAGAAAATACAAAAAAGAAGATTCTTTAATGCAAGGGTAAGGCAAAAAGGCTTTGAGAATAACTCAAACTTTTTAAAAACCGTTTTTAACCGAAATGAATTTTTATGGATTTTAAGCAAGACATAAGATCATTAATGGCTTGTCCCTTTGAAATTAATCGAGTTTATTGTTTCGAGAAAATACAAGAAGAAGATCCTTTTCAATGCAGAAGGTAAGCCAAAGAGGCTTTGAGAATAACTCAAACTTTTTAAAAACCGTTTTTAACCGAAATGAATTTTTATGGATTTTAAGCAAGACATAAGATCATTAATGGCTTGTCCCTTTGAAATAAATCGAGTTTATTGTTTCGAGAAAATACAAGAAGAAGATCCTTTTCAATGCAGAAGGTAAGCCAAAGAGGCTTTGAGAATAACTCAAACTTTTTAAAAACCGTTTTTAACCGAAATGAATTTTTATGGATTTTAAGCAAGACATAAGATCATTAATGGCTTGTCCCTTTGAAATAAATCGAGTTTATTGTTTCGAGAAAATACAAGAAGAAGATCCTTTTCAATGCAGAAGGTAAGCCAAAGAGGCTTTGAGAATAACTCAAACTTTTTAAAAACCGTTTTCAACCGAAATGAATTTTTATGGATTTTAAGCAAGACATAAGATCATTAATGGCTTGTCCCTTTGAAATAAATCGAGTTTATTGTTTCGAGAAAATACAAGAAGAAGATCCTTTTCAATGCAGAAGGTAAGCCAAAGAGGCTTTGAGAATAACTCAAACTTTTTAAAAACCGTTTTTAACCGAAATGAATTTTTATGGATTTTAAGCAAGACATAAAATCATTAATGGCTTGTCCCTTTGAAATTAATCGAGTTTATTGTTTCGAGAAAATACAAGAAGAAGATCCTTTTCAATGCAGAAGGTAAGCCAAAGAGGCTTTGAGAATAACTCAAACTTTTTAAAAACCGTTTTTAACCGAAATGAATTTTTATGGATTTTAAGCAAGACATAAGATCATTATTGGCTTGTCCCTTTGAAATTAATCGAGTTTATTGTTTCGAGAAAATTAAAACAAAGGCTTTCGGAGTTCAAGAGGTGTGGCTAATGATTTGGGAAAATGCTGAATGTTCCATAAAATATTTTTATGTAAATGAAGTTTGATGAATCAAAGAGATGATATCATCGATGGTATTTCTCTTTGAAAGAAATCAAGGGTATTTTTTCAAAAAAATACCAAAATGAAGATATTATTTTTGATGCAGATAGTAATTTGAGGATAGTCTTACGAATATACAGCAACAAGTAGCATTTTATTGAAACTTTTCTATTGGTGACCAGTGGCGTAGCGTGACTTTTTCAACTGGGTATTCTCTATTAAACAAAAGGGTGGGGCAAGGTGTGGCTTGATGGAAATAGGAGGGATAATAGGAAGATTGAAAGGACTTAGCTATTGACAATTTATCTAATTTTCTTTCTGGTTCGGTTGGCAAGTACTGCACTGTCAGGGCATTAATATGATGAAAACGATACTTTGCTAAAGAACCCAACGCAAATATACTCTTCGAACTGAAAATATACTTATTCATTGCATCAAAATACCACTAACCATTTTATCAAAATTAATTCAAATCAAAACGTATCATTGAAAGTCAGTAAAATTTTGTTGTTGTTGAATCCTCTAAAATTTGCACTGATGTAAAGAGGAAGTAACTGTAAACACCTTCTCTTGATACCTTAATACAAAAGAGCTTTCGAAAGTTATTCACATAGGGCATTACACGAGTTATAAATAGTTTGTGTTATTCAGTGGATGCAGTCTAGACTTCTTCATGGCTTAATCGTGATATTTTCAATACAAGTTAATGATTGAAAGAATCGAAGGTAATGAGACGAGGGACTGCACAATAAAGCAAATAAATGGGCTCGAATAATGCAAACAAAATAGGCCAACAATATAAGTGGATGCACCAGGCAACTATAAGGATATTATCCAGGCCTATCTGCATTTACTTAAATTCTATCACATAATACAAACAGAAGGATCCCTGATTGACAAGCAATAACAAAATTGGCATTTCAAGAGGCACAGATCTGAGTCAGTGTAGCATTTTATAGAAGCCTACTTTTCTTTTCCACTTTGCTGTTGGTAGGTTAAGATTAGGGGTCAAATGAGAGAATGATTATCAAAAAGTAATACGGACACTGCAATAGCTTTGAATGAAGTCATGTTTACTGTTTTCGATGAAGATCCACCACTCCAACAGCTCCGTCGTCCATTAACTGTTTATATCGATCTCAAAACGAGACTTTTTTGAACCAACTTTGAGGCTGTACGCTGCATATTTCTCAGCGTACAGGACCATTGTTTTAGCTGATTAACGGCAAATATTATTCATGGAAAGGAGCATTTTGATTGGTTAAAGTACCGTCTAGGGTATTCACTGCGTATTCATGACCGATCTGCATTCAACATGAAGTAACTCAATCTTCAAAATTAGCTTCAAAGATCTCCCAGCTTCTCTATGCGTCGCAGCGTTATTGTTTCAAACTAATTTCGTGATATTTTGTACTTGTACAAAATGTAGAATATCGAAGGTAACGAATTCAACCGGAATCAATAGGCCATAAACATCTTTTAGTTATTACAAGTATACGTCGTATTAATATATTTTCTGAGAAATCTCAGGGTATTCACTGAATACCTTGAATACCCGGACGCTACGCCACTGTTGGTGACGTTTCTTTATCGTTTCTTCATAAAAGCCGGGCAAACAATATCAAGCTTTTATTAAGAAAACATTTTTATCAACAAGTCTGACGGGATACAAGATTCCACTTTCAAGGCCAAATTGAATAGGTTCTTGTGGGAAAAACACACGTTTTTTGCATCTAAATGATACGAATGTAATTATGACATGTTACGGTTACGGCACAGAATAGGAATTATACAAAAGGAGACCTTCTGTCTATCAGGTGAAGCCTTGAAAATTCTAGCGCATGCGTAAACTTATATTACAAAAACAAACATTTTCGTCATAATTGAAGAAACTTCAGATATATCTGCTGAGTGAAAAGTTAGCATTTGATAGCTCGTTAGCGTTTAAAACATATTGTTATTGTGGTTGTGATCTTTTTAAATCAAAAATAATTTTAAATTGCAATACGGTAACTTGTCTTATTCGATTATTTACAAAAAAACAAAGAAATTAGTTCTGTAGATGACAAGTCAACGTTAGATTAAAGATTGAATTCGTTCGGTTATCTGTTTAGGTGTTTAGTTATCTGTTTTTAAGTCCCATTAATGGTTGCAATAAAACTAGAAAACTTCCTTGTCACAATAAAGGTTTATGACTCTCGATTACGTAAGTAATTTTAACTTCAATAACTTCAATATGCCAAGGGATTGGGTGTGGGAGTATGTCATTTGGAAATATGAAAACACACCTTAAAAATTATAAATTTTCCAAAAAATATATTCCAAAATTTAGACATAATATGAAATGCATACCCTAAAATTTAATTCAAATTTGCAAAAGTTCCAACAACCCAATCAAGGAAATGAAAGCATATTACCTTTCATTTAAAAATAATTTAAATTAAAAATTTAAAAAATGCCCAAAATTTAAGTTCATGCTAAAAATCATTCCCAAGATTTATGACCATGTTAGATTTTACCAGAATTGATACCTCAAAATTTATTTTCTTCTTGAAAAAAAAATACACTACGAAGAGGCATCCCCCGTATTAGTGAATGTGGAAGTAACGTAACCAATTTGGTCATGTCAAACCCCAGACCCTTGGATATGTAGTCCGCTACCCTAACCACTGAGCCATCCTCGCACCAAATATCTTATAAATGAACTTCATGAAGAGCAAATTCATAGTCAACGATATTGAAAACGCTTTGTATTATCTTGCCTCACAACTGGCACAACTTCAGGATGTTAGGCAGGAATTTAAAAGTGGGGGGGGGGGGTAAGCAGTGGCGTACCCAGGGCTGTAGCAGGG